TTCACACTTGGAAAAATATTTTAATAAATATTTTTGCAATATCACAGAACTTGATGTAATTTTTAAACACCCTGCCCACCGCTCCCCTTCCTTTCAGCCAAGTACAGAAACACTGCTGGAATGACTCATTGCTAAATGCTTAGAGGAGAGAAAAGGCAGGAGCCCACCCTGTCCTCTGCGCTGAGGTAATGGATGCTGAATCTCTTGTCAGTGCTGGGTTTATTATATGAGGAACTAGAGAGGCTGGTGATAAACTTGGGTTGAGAGTGCAGATCAGTAATTGCCCAGAAAACTCATTTTCTCTCAACTGTAGCTCTCTTTCTTGCTTGATTTCTATTGGGAACCAGCCCTAAATCAAAGTGTAAATTGAGTTTTCATGGGGTAAGTAACTGGGAAAGCCCCTCTCTTTTTTTTTTTAAAGATATCTCTCTTATTTATTTATACAAGAACTGGGGTACAGGCCAGATGTGTGGGAGGGTGAGAGGATGCACCGGAGACAGAGCGGTGAACAGAACAGGCAGACTGACGAAATACACTGCTGAGGGGAACAGTGGGCGGCAGGAGAGGTCTGCTCGCCATGTGAGACCCTCGCCGGTGGCTGGGGATCAATCCGGCACTGCAGAGGCTGCAGGCAGCTTCACAGCGCTGCACTGAACCGCCTGAGCCACCATGGGAGGCCCCATTTTTGATCTCTTGCGAAGCATTGTTTGGTATCCTTAGTTTGGCGTTAGATCATTTATTTATTTTTTTAAACATCTATCTATTCATGCATTCAAGAGCTGGGGCACAGACCAGAGGTGTGGGGGGTGAGAGGACTCACCCGAGACAGTGGGGAACAGAATAGGCAAATTGACTGAAGTACACTGCTGAGGAGAGCAGCTAGCGAGACAGGAGAGGTCTGTTGTGCCATGAGGGCAGCTCCCTGGCCGACCGGGGATTGAACTCATGCTGCAGTGGCTGCGGACAGCCCCATAGGTTGTGTCTCAACTGCTTGCGCCACTAGGGAGGCCCAAGGACTTACATCATTTAATAAGTATCTGATGCCCTTCATTCTTTCTTTCCACAAATATTTACTGAATACCCACTATTTGCCAGGCACCATTCTATCTTTTTTAAAAGATTTATTTATGTATACAAGAGCTGGGGTGCAGGCCAGAGGTGCGGGGGTGGGGGAAGGATTCACCAGAGACAGTGGGGAACAGAACAGGCAGATCCACTGAAATACACTGCTGAGGGGAGCAGCGGGCGAGACAGGAAAGGTCTGCTGTGCCGTAAGTGGTAGCCTCCTGCCCCCCTGTTGTGGGCTGGCTTGGTGATAGTGTGATATTTTGGAAATAAAATTGATAGGGCTTGTTGGTGGGAGTGGTGAGGAAAAGGGAGGAATCAAAGATTATTCCCAGGTTTTTTACCTGAGCAACTAGCTTAGATATGAGATTGGGGAAACCCAGGGAGGGGTGAAGGAATAGCAAGAGGTCTATTTGAGAAACGTTAGGCTTGTTATCCATATGGAGAGGTACATAGATATTGGAAACCTGAATCTGTAGTGCTGGGGAAAAGTGTGGAAGTGGGGGGATATGGAGTCAGGCAAGGTTTGGTGTCAGTGTTTTAGATAGGATGCCTCAGCTTATCCAGACTCTTGAAGGAGGAATTTTAACAATGGGTGTATTTTAACACCAATTTTAACAATGGGTGTATTTTTATTTCTTTTTTTTTTTCTTTTTATTTTTTTGTGGTCCCCTCGCCGGCGGCCAGGGAACGAACCGGCGCTGCAGAGGCTGCGGGCAGCTTCGCAGCCCAGCGCTCAACCGCTGCGCCACCAGGGGAGGCCCGGGTGTGTATTCTTAATACCATTTTTCTGTTTTTCATTTTTCTTTTTTGATTTATTTATTTATACAAGCACTGGGTACAGTCAGAAGCTTAGGAGGGTTAGAGAATTCACCAGAGCCAGAGCGGGGGACAGAACAGGCAGACTGACGAAGAAATACACTGAAGAGGGAAGCAGCGGGCTGCAGGAGAGGTCTGCGTGCCATGTGGGACCCTCGCTGGCTGGCGGCTGGGGATCGAACCGGTGCTGCAGAGGCTGCGGGCAGCTTCGCAGCCCAGCGCTCAACTGCTGCGCCACCAGGGGAGGCCCTGTTTTTCATTTTTCAATAAAATGTCAAAATATTTGAACGAAAATGCTGGAGCGAAGGGGATGGTACCTTGAACACAAGGGGAGAAACTTATCACAAGCAGAGACATTTCTTAAGGACAGGAGAGAAGGCATTGAGCTGATACTGCTGAAGGACTGGGCATTCTTCCTGATTGCTTCTAAACCCAAACGTTTTATTCTTTTTTTTTTTTTTTAAAGATTTATTTATTTATACATACAAGAGCTGGGGCAAAGGCCAGAGATGGGGTGGGGGTGAGAGGATTCACCAGAGATAGAGCGGTGAACAGAACAAGCAGACTGACTGAAACACACTGCTGAGGGGAGCAACAGGCAGCAGGAGAGGTCTGCACGCCATGCGGGACCCTCCTCCGGTGGCCGGGGACTAGCCGGGGATCGAACCGGCACTGGAGAGGCTGCAAGCAGCTTCACAACCCAGCGCTCAACCGCTGCGCCACGGGGGAGGCCCCCAAGTGTTTTATTCTTGCCTGTTTATTTACCAGTGGGTTAAGCTAAAAGTTAACCTGTGGTTTGCCACCTATAAGTTTGAGAAAATGCAAGTGGACTTGAAAATATATAAATTACCCTGGAAAACTATAGTAGTATTTGATAAACATAGCAATATAATATATTTGAAGTTTGGTGGTTTGAATATCCCATTGTTTTAGCCTAGATTTTGTTGTGGAGTACTTCTCAGAAGTGGCTGGCAGAAACTTACGTTCTAGTAAAACATCCTTTCCAGGAAGTGTGTTTAATAATTCTAAGGAATACTGACAAGAAAATGGTATAGCAGCCCTGGGATAGTGGTGATGCCACTGTTAGTGCGTGTTCAGCAGTTTGACACTAGCAGTCCAGTGTCTCCGGAGTTTCATGAGGCTGGATGGTGGGAAGTCGAAATTTTATTCTCATTTAGCACTGTATAGCCAAGAGATTGTTCTTTTTTTTTTTTTTTTGAGGCATGTTTTTCTTTATTTGTTTGTTTGCTTGTTTGTTTGTTTTGTTTATACATGCACTGGGTACAGTCAGAAGCGCGGGAGGGTGAGAGAATTCACCAGAGCCAGAGCGGGGAGCAGAGCAGGCAGAAGGCCCGAAGGACACTGCTGAGGGGAGCAGCGGGCGGCAGGAGAGGTCTGCGCGCCATGTGGGACCCTCCTCCGGTGGCCGGGGAGCAGCCGGGGATCGAACCGGCGCTGCAGAGGCCGCGGGCAGCTTCGCAACCCAGCGCCCAACCGCTGCACCACCGGGGAGGCCCGCAAGAGATTGTTCTTACACTGTCAAAAGTAGGAAAAGATGCCTGCTTTGTGAAATTTGTAAATGATGTCTTGAAATCCAAGAGAAATATACAACAGAATGAAATTTGATCTCTTTATTTATTTTTTAAGATTTATTTATTTATACAAGCACTGGGTACAGTCAAGCGCGGGAGGGTGAGAATTCACCAGAGCCAGAGCGGGGAACAGAACAGACAGACTGACAAGTACACTGCTGAGGGGAGCAGTGGGCGGCAGGAGAGGTCTGCGTGCCATGTGGGACCCAACCGGTGCTACACAGGCTGGGGGCAGCTTCGCAGCCCAGCGCTCAACAGCTGCGCCACCAGGGGAGGCCCAAGAACTGTTTTCAATGGGGCCTCCCTGGTGGTGCAGGGCTTAAGTTTCAGGGCACCAAGCTATGGCCAGCCACTGCAACATGAGTTCAATCCCTGCCAGGGAGCTGACCCACATATGGCGCAGCAGTCCTCTCTGTCACCCGCTGTTCCCCTCAGCAGTGTACTTCGGTAGATCCACCTGTTTGAGCCGTCTCTGGCGAATTCTCTCACTCCCTCACCTCTGGCCTAGAGTCCACCTCTTGTATGCATCCTGAAGGGAAAAAAAAAACAACTCTTGAGTGTTGCAATAAACGGTAGGTTGAAGTCCTTAGCAAGAAGTAACTTGAACCCAATATATACGCCACGTCAGGAAGGAACTAGATTAGATTAGATCCTAGAAACAAGCTTAGCCTTCGCCCTTTACCTTGTTACCCCTAAGTATCAGACCAGTTAATCCAGAGTAACAGTCGACACTAAGTCCAAGGACGCGGCAGGATTTAGAATCACACTTTCCTAGTGAGGAGCCTCGGCTGCAGACAAGTGGCTGGTGGAACACTTTTTGGGAAAGACTTACGTAACGGCCAGAGCTGCTGTCAGAAGAGAAGCGGCCTTGAGCTAAATGAGGAGAGAACAACTGGCCGCGTCCTGGGCGCACAGCTGTCCAGGGCTAATTAGGGCAAAGTGTGCTGCCGCGCTGGGCCAGGCCCGGCGCCCGCCAGGGCCGGGAGTTTCTAGAGAACCTTCCCGGTCCAGTGAGGGCGGTGGGCGCGCGGCCGGCGGCGCAGCGCGAAGGCGAGCAGCGGGGCCGCGGCCGCCCCCCGGCCTCCTCCCAGGGCGGCCCTCGGCCCTCGTCTCCCCTCCGGGGCGTCGCCCCACATTTGCCTCATCTCGTGGCCGAGCCCCCACGCGAGGGCCACAGCCCTGACCCCTCCGTCACCCCGAGAGCCGGCTCGCACCAGGAGACACCGCGGACCCAGCACTGCTCCCTCAAAACCGCTTTCAATAAAGTTTTAACTCTCCCAAAAAAGGGGGGGTGCGCTGGGGGGGGGGGTGCGCAGGGGGCCCTGTGGTGGCCGAGCGGCGGGCCCGGCGCAGGCGGCCCGCGGGCCTGTGTGGACCGCACCACAGTCCCCGGGAGGGGCCGGGGGGACCGGGGCGGGCGGCCGCTTGCTTTGGAGTATCTCCAGCGCCCACGTACAGTCAGTGTTCAACTCCCGGGGATTTCTGCTGGCGGCGGGCGGGAGCAAAGAGCCGCACGCCGGGCCCATGGCCACTCGGCCCGGCCGCCTCCCCCAGCGCCGGCCCCCGCGCACACCGCCGCGCCGCCCCTGCCCCTCCCCGCCGGGGCCCGACGGCCGTGCGCGCGCGCCCTCGTGTTCTCGCGTGCTTACGCGCGGCGCCCCTGCAGCCAATCAGGCCGCGAGGTCGCCGCGGTCGCCGGGGTTCGCGCGCACGCTCCGGAGCGCCGTGGGGGTGGGGCTGAGGGTGAATGGGCGAGTGAGCGGGGGCGGGCGCGGCTGCGCGAGCCGCATGAATGAGAGAAACGTGCCCCGCGTGAGACGTCGCGCGCGCCCGGGCCCGGGAGCCAATGGGAGCGCGGGGAGGGCTCGGGACCCGGCTCTGAGGGCAACGGCCGCGCGCCGGCGCGAGGACGAGCGTCGCCGGCGGGAGCGCGCGGAGCGGGGCGGGCGTGGAGCGTGCGGGGGCCGCGCGCTGCCTCTCAGAGGCCGGACGGCAGTGCCGGGAGGCGGCGGCGGCTACGGCGGCGGCGGCGACGGGGACCGCGCCGGGGTGAGGACCAGGGACGCCGGCCCCTGCGGAACCGGAAGTGCCGGCCGGTGAGGTGGGAGGGGAGCGTGACCTCTGGGGAAGGGGCCGCGGAGGGGAGGCGGCTGGAGGCCCCGTTCCTGGCCGGGCCGGGACAGCGGACTGCGGCGGCCCCGACCGCCCCGGAAACGGACGGCGAGCGGAGGCCGGGGATCCGCGGCCGCGGGGTCGGGGGGGGTTCGTGTCGGGCCGCCGGGTCCAGCTCGGGTCCCGGCCCCCCGCACCCGGGCCGGCCGCCGCCCCTTCCGCCCCCGGCCCTGCGCCCCCGGCCTCCGCCGGCGCCCGCGGAGGCCCCGCCGCGGCCGCGGACTCGGTCTGCGGGGTCCTGGCGCTCGCCGGCGCTGCCCCCCTCGGCCATCCTCCCGGCCGCGGCGCCGGGGTGGGCGCTGGGGGCTGCTCCCCGCGCCTCGCTGCCCTCCGAGCCCCGCGCGCCGCTCGGCTGGTACTTGTTTGGGCTCAAGCCTCTCGTGCTGCCCGTGCCCCCCGCCGCCCCCCGCCTTGGGCGTTCTGTACTTTTTACAAGTGTTTGCCAGTGTCTTACCTATAGGAATCTCTGGGACCGGGAGGTGGCGAGTGTTTGACCCTCTTGGCGGCGTGAAAACACTGATATGAGAAGTAAGAAAGTTGGGGACGGAGGGCAGGGTTAGAGGGAGGTGGTGAACTCCAGGCCATCTCTCTGCCCGGCGTTTTTCACTTCCTGGTTAATGCCATCTTGTCGAGGTGGATCTTGCGCTTGAGTCTTCTCCCTCTATCCCATTATTCCTCGGTACTGCGTCCAGTCCCTTCAGAACGCTCCCACTCTGCAGAAGCCCACCTAATGTCCACAGGAATGAGAGTGTCATGCTTTGTTGCTGTTTGGTATATATCGATAACAGCCATATTAAACTTGTGCTTCACTCTGCAGCTAGTGTGTTGTCATGTGGCTTATTCCGTGATAGCCTTCCTGGTGGTGTCTTCAGATTTATTGTTTTATTATTACACCACTTTTTTTCAACCAGAAGTCCTTGTGCTGTCAGTGCTGCTGCTCCTGTCCATGCAGTACTTTAAGGAGGCACTTATATTTGACCTTTATTAAAGCCGTCAATCCACATTTTTCTTATTGTTTACTTTACATGTACGTATTTCCATTCCATAGATTGTGCTGTCTATGTCACACATTCTTCACCACCTTTCTCACACAGGTGAGCCACGTTCACTGCAGTCTCACCCCTTCTCTCCATACCTTGTCCTTTTGCTAAGACTTGGTGCATCTTCATTATACCCAGTATGTTCTTAGATGTGCATGCCAGTCTCGAAGCATCTCGGATAGGATTTCTTTCGTTTCCCATATCATACTTCCCAAATTGCATGGCCTTTTATGACCCCCCCCCACTCCCCCGCATTACTCTGGCAGTATAGGCCCAGATGAGCTTTTTTCCTGTTGGAAAATATAAATTGAAATCATATATGGTGTCTAAATAATTCCCTAGGCTAGATAAAATATAAGTAGCGCAGTCTTCCATTAATTTTTCGGCTTTTGAGGGAAAAGTTTAATAGAACTGTCTACAAACCAAGAATTTACTTCTCGTTCTTAACAGTTACTTAGGCCTAAATACAGAAGGTAGGGCTTTGAGAACTGAGGGAAACTGAGGGTTGAATAATCAAAATTAGGGGCCAGTCTCTTTCTCTCTTTTTTTAAAAGGACTAGCAATTTCCTGTAATCTTGCTTTGGTGTTCACTCTAGTCTGTATTGTCTTTCGGCTCCCTAAAAGCAGGAACTGATGCATCTTGAAGGAAGGCTCTGTGCCTTCCCTGCCACAGGTAAAAAAGGAAGTGATAAATTCCAGGCACATTTGTATTTCACTACGTGGTATTTTAATTTCTGCGTTTGATCTTAAGGGAAATAGAGACCACCTGAGTGGGATCAAACTTATATTTTTAAATTCTAACAAGTAAAATTTTTGTTCTGCAGGTTCCAAATTGTCGTTGCTGGGCAGGTCGTGTAGGGGATAAGACAGAGGTAGAAAGGATTTGTGTTGGCAAAGGAGCAAGTGAACGCTTACATTCTGAACCTGACTGCTCATGTGATTCAGTGGAGTGGCCTCAGGCATTTTCTAGCCTTCAATTTTACAGAGTGGGATAAGGAACTGTGTCACCAGATAATGTGAGTTAAGTGCTTTGAGATCACTAGATGAAAAGCATCCTATAAAACCCAAAGTGCTAGTGTTATTTTGCTACTACCATCAACAGAAATAATTGTTACTCTTAATCATATTGGGGAAGGTGGGGCTCAGCAGGCTTCCTAATAGGCCCGAGTAGGAATAAAAACTGTTGAATTGGGAAGGCCCAGCCTTTGTGGTTGACTCACTTTCTTAAGAGGGCATCTTGCCTTTCAGCACAAGAACATCTCTCCCCCGGGGTCTTTCATGAGTTATTCCAAAGACCCAAAATTCAGCTTCTGCTTCTTTCGGGTTCTATGTAAAAAGCATAAAAGGATGGGAGAGAGGGGCACATACTCAGAAAGGAAATGAGATTTACTGTCCTAATTTTGAGGTTACTGTTTTCATTGTAGCAATAAATACTCTTGCTGTCCAAAGAGAAATCTCTTTTTAGGATTACCCTTCACTGCTGTGTTCTTTTTTGTTTCTAGATTTTGATAGTCTTGATATTTGTTACTGCCCGTTTGTTTCATACGAGATGGACCCACATCCCCACACCCGGCTCCTCGCCCTGACCCGAGCCAGTTCTTTGATGACCTTAGGCCAGTGAAGCCAGGATCTTCTCCTGAACAGCACTTAGAAGAGTAAAGGTTTCTAATCCACTGTCCTCCCAGTTCAGAGTCCTTTCCCCTGTACACATCAGTGAAGTAGAAAATAATTTTTCTTTCAAAAGGTACTTTTTAAACAGAGCAGCTTATGGGGTTTTAGCCTTGCTATTCTTAAGAACTACCCTGAAAGAATTTCTCTGATAAAGACAATTGTTTTTCTTTTTCTCCAGGTGAGGCACTGGAACCCAACTGAACTCTGCATCCAGGAACCCCAGGAGTGAAGATCAGAGACTTTGACTAACTTGGCAACAGGGAGCTCTTTGGAACTTTGCTTTCGTCCACAGTAACCTTTTAAAATTAACCCTCGAGTGGAATTGAGTTCTTTGTCATCTTTTGCTCATTGGGAAGAACATGGCTTCCGGGATGTTGTGTTTCCCTTTAGTTTTGCATGAACTTTGTAGGAAACGAAGCCCTTAAAGGGCTTGGGAAGAACAAGAAAAGGCTGAAGACAGATACGTTTGAACCCTGTTTCCCTTCCCTTTCAAAGAAAAGGATTAACAACAACCTTGTAACAGCTGCTGCCCAGCTTTAGCCACCGAGAGAAAAGAAATCAAATTAAGCCACCATTTTCAGACTGCAAGTCCTGAAGCCCAGGGGTGGAAGCAGTGGCATTGAGAAAACGACCTCACAGGGACAAGGACTGCAGTAAAAATAGCTTCTTTTTAAAGCTGGGAAGGGCCTCAGGTTCCTTTTTGGATGAAAATAGGCACACAGGACACACCTCTTTCAGGTGCAGCTCACGTTTTGTGGAAGTGTGGTAGGCCTGGAGGTCTTGTTTCCTCAGAAGGACTTTGCCTCGCCGGAAGTGCACTGCCCTGATCCTCTCCCCTTCTTCCTCTCAAAGACTCGGCTCCATCCATGAGCTATTCCTTGATCTGTCCGACGGTCCATGGTCTCCACCTGCAACTGTTTGCATGCATACAGTCTGCTGTTTGTCTCCGATTTCTAAACTATACCAGCTGTGTTTCTTAGTCTCCTTCTCTGCCTCCTTTTGGGGAGCTGGTTTTTCATCATTTGGAATCGCCTTTCCCCCTCCCATGTGCTTTCCTTCATTTGCGATCTTTTGACCTTTGGTTTTATTCGGGAGGGGGAAGGGTGACCACTTAAAATTTTCTGTTTCCTTGGTTGCCTTCTGTAGTTTTCTCTCCGTTGTTTCCCTCATCCCATTTTCTTGTCTGTTCTGCCGCTGTGTGGGCCTGGGCTATGCGGCAGGGCAGATCTCCCATCAGAGCTCCAACATGCCCGCAGAGTCTGGAAAGAGATTCAAACCCAGCAAGTATGTTCCGGTCTCAGCAGCTGCCATCTTCTTAGTGGGAGCCACGACGCTCTTCTTTGCCTTTACGTGAGTTTTTCCCCCCAGTGGTGGTATTTGGGGGCCACTCTTTTGAGTTTTGTTAGTTACTTGCAAAGCCAAGTGACTAGGAGTGCTTTACCTGTCTGATACAGGTAACTCCAAATCCCAGAGCCATGGTAAGAAAAGTGAGAAAAGCCTGTACTGTCAGCCTTACTATAAATTAGCTCCATCGAGCCTCACCTTCCTCGTCCCTCCCCGCCTTCCTTTGGCATCATAGATGTCTTTATATTTTCCTACCCTGCTCCAGCATTAGATGATCCTGAACTAGGAAGGAAGTGGGAGGAAACCACGAGAGGCTTGATGCAGCTTAAGCAATCAGTTTCATGAGAGAAAGGGAACTCGACTAGATTGAAGGTTTTTCAAATAATAATGCCTTTCCCCCAGAATGTCCGAAGCTTGGATTTGAAAATGTGGACGCTGAGAGCACTTGGGGGGATGGGGCGGAGTTCAGAATTCATTAGGAGGTAGGCCAATAAGACAGGTTTGACTTTTAGTGTCACTTAGATGGTTTTCTCTGTGCTCTAAGAACCAAAGCCTCGAGAATTAAAGACCACTGGGAAAGGGCAAGTTTGTTTCAGGAAGAAAGTCCTGGAAGACTCCCTTTACGGTAGTTCTTACTGAGGGACTAGCAGTGATTCTTCTGTTCTTGGTCCTTTTAGGGAAAGCGTTTGGTATTGAATGATTTCCCACTGAAGATATTCAGACTTTGTTCACCTGCTTGTTACTAGAAGGGACTTTTATTTATCCTCCCCCTTTTCTCCAGTACTTTAGCTCTTGAACAGCCTGGCAGGCATCTTTGCTGTTACCTGTTTATAAATTAGCGTATACAGGCTTCTGAGCCTTAAACTGTTGAGTCATGGAGTCAGTGTTCAAGTTGCAGCTGTTGGAATAATCAGAGCAGGCTAGATTTTCTGGGGAGTCCACTTTGCCATCGTTCAGGCTCAAACCTAATTGTAAGGTGCTGTTGAAAGCTATGTGAGGTTGCTGGGAAGAGGAAGATGAGGAATGAAGCAGGAATTGCAGCAGGGCTGTTACTATTATGGAGAGAAATACAGAACAGAGTTAAATCTGAGATAGGAGGGAAGGAAAACCCTGGAACTGAGCTTCAGATACCAAAAGGCAGTCTTCAATATAGGGATTAAGCCAGCAAAGTGACAGTGATGTTTTTCTGTTGAGTTTTTAAACAAGGAAAGAATGACTCCACTGTCATGTATGCGTATCATCCCACTTCTCACCTCCTTTCCTCCACTGAGAAGTCAGAGTCTTTGGCTTCTAGCTCTGCAGCCGGAGTGCGTCTGCTGAATACCTCGGGGATCTAGAACAGCCCTCCTTTCTCTATGACTTCTTCATAATCTTGTTCTTTTTATTTAAACTCAACACGTTCATTGTTTCGTCCTTCATGCATTCACCACCATTAAGGCGGAATGAGTCTTCAGTGTCAGGCTTGTTTTGGTTTCTGCTAGTTTGGCCAGTAAGTAGAATCACCATTTTGCCCAGGGACCTTTTATATTGATTCTTAGATTCCTTGCATGGCAGTAGTGGTGCTGCGTTGGGAGGCAAATGTACAGGATCAGTTTGACACCCTTAGACCTGCTCCTTGGGAAGGGTCTGTTTTCTTTAAAGAGGCAAAGCCTTCGGAAAAAGTAGGCAATCCAGGGGTTGACTAAGTGGTTCCTCCCTTTTAGCCCATCCGTTCTTGAGGTAGGACCGCAGAATCCTTGTTCTTAACTTGCTAATCTGGAACCACTGAAGTGCTTGGCTGGTTATACCAGTTTCCCCACGAGGAGTTGTCCTGACATAGGCATTTTCTAACTGATTGGTGAAACTATTTAACCTACTTTCCCATTCCCTGGTGCCAGAGAAATAGGGGCCGTCCTTACGCCATGGTATCTCAGCCCCAGGAAAAAAGAATTTTGGAGGACAGCATAGACTCAGTTTGGACTCATTGCCTCAAATCCAAAGTTAGAAGAGCCTTGGATGTCCTGGCAGTTTCATTATGGCCAATTTCTGGGCTCTCTTTGCATCGGTAGGCTGTCCTTGGCCACCATGTGGAAACTTAGACACCCCATTTCTTGTACCCCTATCACACTAGCTCTACATGCCTCTGAAATTCTCATCTCTTCCTATTCATTTAACCGTAGCAGATGTAGAGGAGATAGATGCTCCTCTTCAAGCATTTATCTAGGCTGAGATGCCACTGTTCTCCAAAGCTGTTCCCCTGCAGATTCTGCCCCTTTGGGGGTTCAATTCCTTGGAGAACCCCTGTTTAAAAACTGCAACCTAAAGAAAAGAATTCATGATTTCAAATAGACAAGAGAGAGGCTGTCTTTGAACCAGCTCCTATATGGGGCCTGAGTCTGTAACTATTCTGCCATCTGCCTGTTGTCTTTACTGGGCTACACTGTTCTTACATCAGTTTAAGCCCCAGGTGAGAATTACTTTGAGACCAGGAGGACTGGGAGTAGGAGGAAGAGTCCCTTTCAGCTGGCAGATATAATTAGTGGAGGCATGTAGGCTTCAGCTAATTAGGAACAGTTTACCCTTCATGTTTCTTTGTCAAGTAGGGAAAGCTCTGAGTAGAAATTTTCAGTTGTTTGATCATCAAAGAATGGTGACCTTCTTCAGCCCCAGAGAAGCTTGAATAGAACAGTTGAGGCCTCCTGTCTAGACCCCAATCCCTCTCAACCACGGAATTTGTCTTGTACTAAAATTAAGTGGGAGAGTTACTAGGAATCCTGTCTTTTTCCTTTTTACTCTTTGGGAAGGAAAGTGTCTGCTAAAGTAACATTCATTTAAGATACTGGGCCTGGATCCTTTCCTTTTTTTTTTTTTTTTTAATTTTTATATATTTCTTTTTTTTTTTTTTAAGATTTATTTATTTATACAAGCACTGGGTACAGTCAGAAGCACGGGAGGGTGAGAGAATTCACCAGAGCCAGAGCAGGGAGCAGAACAGGCAGAAGGACCGAAGTACACTGCTGAGGGGAGCAGTGGGCGGCAGGAGAGGTCTGTGCGCCATGTTGGACCCTCCTCCGGTGGCCGCTCCGTTTGTTATTAGCAAGGGGACAGAGCCAGGTAAGAGGAATAAACTCTGTTTGGGGGTCAGGAGACTGAATTTGGTAAAGTCTGCTAACCTTTGTAGGCCTTCTAGCTCCGTATAATGAGAAAATTGACCTAGAGCAATTTATATTAAGCAACATGACCCCCTTTTTTCAAATGAGATCTTGTGTGGAACCCCAGTATGTACAACCTGAGAGTAGGGCTGCTTTGGAGCAAGTGAGGCTGTTGTGTAAAGGCCCAGCCCCTCTTGGCCTCCTGGGGACCCTTGAGACCTTAGGGTTCTGCTTATGCCATTTGAAATCACTGGATTGTTTCCTCTAAAGTTCTCCTTGAGTGAGTTAAGTCAGCTAGTGTCTCATTTTGTCCCTTTGTAAAGTTGGTAGGGTTTCGGGCTTAAAATCTGCTGCAGGTGATCCCTTTAGGAAAAATAAAAGACAGCTTGTCCATAAATGGACATGATGGTCTTTCCCGTGTCCCATCCTTGATAGCCCTTCCTTCCTTTCAGTTGCTGCTTCTGGCCCCTATAGAGGTGGGCCACCTCCGTGACATTCCTCTTGTCCCTTTTTTCCACGACTGCAGAGGTGCTAGCACCTGTTTGAGTGGGAGCAACCTCATGACTTAGGGCATTAATTGAGCAATGGTTGTTCTTTTTCCTTCCCACATTGTTTTCTCATCCAGGAATAAGTACCCAGGTCCTATATTTGGTAATCAGCTGCTTGAAAATCTGGTTAATAGAGACTCCACAAATTTTGTGTTTTAAGAGAAACTAATCGAGAAGAGGAGAAGTTGTTTTCCTGTGGAATCTTGAGGAATCCCCCTCGGGAAGGAAGTGGGATATTCATTCCGGCCTTGTCTCATCAATAAGGAAACGAGTCACACACTCCAATTATGGCGAGGCATGGGCGGAATGCATGGGCCTGTTCTTCAGGAGCTTAGTGCCTATTTTACTCAGTGCCTGCTCTACGTGTCCTTGAATCTCCAGGACCTCAGATAGGGGAAGTGGAATTACGATGAGGGTGGAGCTGGAATGATAATTGACAATGATGGTGATAGTTAATAATGTTTCCTCCCTCCACCTTCTGTATCTTCTGTCTGGTGAATGCCTAGTGTTAAACTAGCTGGCTTAAGAATTCCAGGTTCTTTTCAGACACTGTCTTCATTCTCTTATTAGGTAGCTGAAGTAACAGGCTTGGAGGTTTTCCTGTGGATTACCTAACACTATGTAGCAAAGCATTGATCAAGACAAGATTAAAATTCAAAGCTTCTTGACTCCTACTTTGTTTTTCTTTTTCTTTTCTTACGTACTTCGTTTTTCTTACCAGGAACTTAGCCATTCTTTGTAAGAGAAAGTGTTAGGGAGGGTCAATAAAGAGATTTGTGGATTTTGAAACCTCTTCTGCCAATTTTGTTAGGTCTTGAAAACAGGAGCGCTGAATGGATGGCGGAAGAACCTGTTCTTCCTGGGATGCTAGAGGCTGGGAGTCTCATCAGTGAGTCAGCCAGCCTTCTGGGCTACAGCCACTCCCTTCGCTCCTGGAGCTCTGTGATTATTTGCCATCGGCCTAGAACGAGCCTCAACAACTCCTCTACTCAGCTCAGGCCTCGTCTCCTTCCATCAAAGGCAACAGATTCAGACAGGCCACTCGGGGTGGTCACCTAGGGATCTGGCAGAGTTCTCTAGCAACGGCAAGCCGCTCCTCCAGCCAAGTGGAATATGGGCTATGACAGGACCGGGTTCTGCTCACACACGCCTCTCCTTGGTGGGGTGTTCGTGCAACTAAAGTGCTCCAGTTGGGTACAACTGGTCTTTGATTTGAGTCTAGGAGGAAACACTGCCCGTAAAGCGGAGTTACTTTCACCATTTCTAGATAGTGCCACTGTGAGAACACTTTATTTTTGCAACAGAAAGGGGAACTCAGTTCCAGGATTACACACTTTAGCTGGGATAGGTTATAGGGGTAAAGGTCCTCATTCCAGTCGTAGGTGGCTGGCAGGAGACCCAAGAAATTGGGGGATTTGCTTTGTCTGGCATTGCAGAGACAGAAGAAAGAATGAGGTCAGAAAGATTGACATCTGGGCCTGTGAGGGGGCTGGTGTCTCATTCTCAACCGCCTTAGTTCTCCTGGGAGATGGAGGTACCCCCTTTTTTTTTTCTTTTCCCAGAAGCTTTGGAGGCAACAGTGGCCAATTCTAGGAATGAGACTTTTAAATCATGGGCACCTCAGTGTTCTAAGGATTTGATTTCTTTTTTCCCTTCTAATTATCTTCCCAGGCTGTAGGAGTCTAGTGAGTCACCCTTTCTCCTCTTCCCCAGGCGGAAATTGAAGCGACAGCTAAGCACTAGGGAGGGGCTCTGACCTGGATGACTGGTTTTCAGTTTCTCTCTCCCTGAGGAGCCTGGGAGGTCAGGCTTTGGGTGGGCCTGTGTAAGGATCCTTCCTTCTTGCTCATATTCCGCCCCAAACCCTGCTAAGGTGTGCGGACACCTTCTCTGAACCAATGAACCCCCAAAGGAGGAGACTTCCTAGAGTCTGATGAGAGAATAAAACTAGAACTACGATGGAAGGTGTGTTTTGCTCTTGAAATCAGAGCTGTCACTCTGGCGTCATATTTTGTCTCCCAGTTATTTGCTCATCAAGAGAAGGGAAGGGTTAATTGATATTTACTATGTAAAAAGCCTAGCACACAATATTTACTTAAAATTTTTTTAATGAATGACTAAGTGGAATTTAAATAGATAGATGATGGTGGTAAAGGCTCGTGAAGTGCTGTGACAGGTTTCTTATCATTAGTTTGTATCTCATTAATGACTTCTGAATGTCCTGAATCACTGTTCACGGCTGTGCTTTTTGTTTTCATGAGATAGATCACCTCTCTCAACAGAATCCAGGACTGCTATGGATTACTTCTCCAGACTCATTGCTGTCTTGTTTTCCTGGCCTGTTCTTCTTTCCTTCAATGAACTCTCCTTTCCTTCTGGACTGGTCTAGATAAGGGGGACCAGGACAGATGCTGTCCTAATTCTGGAGATTAAATTCGCAGCCACAAAGCAGATTAGGGCATTTAGCCACTGTCTTGTAATGGGAAGTTCTTCCTGAGCTGAGGCAGGAAAGAGGGCATTTGCTTAACTACTGACAAAGCAAGCAAGCACATCAGATGTTTTCCTGAAACTTCCAGCTCCCAGGAAATCGTCAGAAAAAAAAAAAGAGCTCTTGAAACATTCCTATTTGGCTTCCCTAGACTCTTACCCTGAAAGAAATGATGGTTTTCTTTCTTTCTTTGCACCAAAGAAAAGCTGCTTGGAGCATCTCTCTTAATTTGGACCCTGTGGAGTACTGGATATGTTTGGCCAGTTATGTTTCCCTACAAGATGTAGGGCTACTTTGCTCTCATGTCTTTTTTTCTTTTTCTTTTTTTTTTTTTAAAGATTTATTTATGCATACAAGAAGTGGGGTACAGGCCAGAGGTGGGGGGAGAGACAGAGTGGGCAGCAGAACAGGCAGATGCACTGAAATACACTGCTGAGGGGAGTAGCGGGCAAGACAGGAGAGATCTACTGCGCCGTGTGGGTTGCTCCCTGGCCAGGGATTGAACTCGTGTTGCAGTGGCTGCAGATAGCTTCATAGTGCTGTGTCCTTCATAGTGCTTGCGCCACCAGGGAGGCCCTGATATCTTTTTCCTCTCTCACTTTACGGCTTCACAGACCTTGAGGGATCTAATTCTGTGTCTTGATGTCCATCCTTATCTGCCTCTTAGGCTTCACCCCCAACCCCCATCTTGAGAAATAGCCTCTAGTTAAGATTCTCGGGGACATCTGACACAGTGAAGAAACTTGAGGCATCTGTGAGTGGGTCAAAGTTAGCTGGGAAGAGGGAAGGCGGAGCCAGAGAGGCAGGTGGTATGCCATGCCCTGGGCTGATGTGCAGGTCAGTGGGGCATGGCTGGGATCCAGAGGCGGGAAAGTAGCTGGTGTCAGCTACATCCTCTATCCTGCGCTCTTGTGAGAGGTTAAACAGGAGAGAAGGACAGATTCTAAGACATGTAGAAAGAGCTATGGAGGAAGAACACTGATCTTAGTGCAAGGGGTTATGGTAGCAGAGATTCTGAGTCCTGTACCTTAATCTAAAATGAAAAATTCCAGGGACTAGACCTGCTCCTTCAGAAGGGTAAACAATAATTGGAGAAAGGAAAGGGGACCTGCACAAGATTTATATGTAGGTATAGCTACTGAATCTTTGCAGGTTTTTATATGCTCACTGTCCAAGTTGCTAACAGCAGCCCCTCATTGTCTTATCTGTGCAGCTGTCCAGGACTAAGCCTCTGTGTGTCACCTGCAGTGCCCATCTACAATGCAATTGTTTTCCTCTTTGTGCTGGCCAACTTCAGCATGGCCACCTTCATGGATCCTGGGATTTTCCCTCGAGGTAAGATTTCTGTCATCTTTCTTGAAAACTCCTTACTACAAATTGAAAACAATTTGTGGGTATACACACTTGGTCCTGGGCCTAGGTGTGCTAGAGTCTTGGGGTACTTTTATAGTGTAATGATGAAAAGCAGTCAGGGTCTTCAGGAATATAGGCCATAACTTCTGGCCATGTGATTCATATGGGGTCTTCTCTTTGATTTTCACTCATTAAGCAGAAATTTGAGCACAAGATTTGAGCATCATCGCTAGATGCGTTAACAGCATGAGTGAGGTAGGCAGTTGTAACAGTGAGATATAGACTGTAAGGGAATCATGACAGAGTTCTATGAGGACATAGTAAAGGATATACTTACATCTACCCAGGGAGGTGCTGCTAAATGAAGGTGTGAAAAAGTTCACCAAGTAGGGGGTGGGTAGAAGGGAAGGGCATGCAAGGTAGATGAAGCAGCATATACAGAAGCCTATGTGTGAAGTGCTGAGCTCAGTGGGGTGGGAGGTCGAGTGCGTGGTGGGACCAGACGGGACAGGAGAAAAACCCAGAGCCAAACTTGTGAAATATTTTATATGTTAAGTAGATTATAATTCTGCCTTTAGATAGGAAGGGGTCTTTTCACAGCTTTTAAGAATGTACAGATATCTTTGGCGGGGGGTAGGAGGTGAGGGTCTATTCAATAATTCAAACCAGAGAAGAACTTAAATGCAAGATTGGGATTTAAAGATATTTCAGAAGTAGATGCAACAGAATTTTTCATGAACAGTTGCTTATTAGGGGATAGTGAGAGGGTAAAGATACTGTTTGTGATCGTTCCAAAGTTCCTAAGAATACTGATTTTTAGAAACCAGGATATGCATAAATGAATGTTGAACAGATTTGGAGGGAAGACAGCATCTTAGATGTGTTGAATTTGAAATACTTGTGGATCATCCCATTGGACGGTGACCCACCGGTCGTTGAGTAATCAGACTCAAAGAACTTGATCTCACTCAGAGTCTTAGAGAGAGTAGAAAGAGATTAGGAAAGAGCCAAGTTCAGACATGACCAGCATTGACACTTTAAAATGAGCAGAGAGGAAGGAGCCATTGAACCTGGATTGAATAAGAAAGATAAGTAGTAGGAGAAACTGGACAGAGTGGGAACTGGACAGAGTGGGGCATTTCATAGTATCTGGGCAGTATGAGAAATTAGGTCCACTAGTAAACTTAGAATTGCTTATTTGTTTTTGGAAACTAAGAATTGGTGATCTTAAGAAGAGAGTTTTTTTTTTTTTTTTAAAGATTTATTTATTTATACATACAAGAACTGGGGTATAGGCCAGAGGTGTGGGGGGTGAGAGGATTCACCAGAGACAGAGTGGGGAGCAGAAAAGGCAGATGCACTAAAATACACTGCTGAGGGGAGCAGCAAGTGAGTCAGGAGAGGTCTGCTGCGCCATGTGGGTAACTCCTTGGCTGGAGATCGAACTGGTGCTGCAGTGGCTGGTGATAGCTTCATAGTTCTGAGACTTAACCCCTTGTGCCACCAAAGAGGCCCGTTTCCTCCTTTTTAAAATAGGAGTAATAAAAATAATATTTTCCACCAAGAATGACTGTAAAGAGTGAGTGAGTTGGTGTATGAAGAGCCCACAGAGCTGCATCCCGGTCCCTGTGACCTGTCCTCCATGACCGGCAGGTCTGAGGTGGGCAGGGGCTCTGGATTGCCTTTGGGGTCTTCCCAACCCGGAAGTGTCAGTTCTGCACGTTGCTATTATGAACGGGACCAGGCAACCCGGGAAGGGTGTTCAAGTTAAGAGACTGTCTTGAGCCAAAAAACAGTATTGAAATACATATAGTGGATTAATAGCATAGGGAACATGCTTTTGGGCAAGGGGTTTATATATGGAAAAGATGTTAATTCTTTTGGCTTCAATCATGTACTTGTGGCTATTCAGCTGTTATGCAAACTCGTTATATATGTGCTTTGGTATGTGAATAAACCACGACTATCAGAGCCACCTCTTTTTTTTTTAAAGATTTATTTATTTATTTATACAAGCACTGGGTACAGTCAGAAGGGCGGGAGGGTGAGAGAATTCACCAGAGCCAGAGCGGGGAGCAGAACAGGCAGAAGGACCGAAGTACACTGCTGAGGGGAGCAGCGGGTGCCAGGAGAGGTCTGTGCGCCATGTGGGACCCTCACCGGCGGCCGGGGATTGAACCGGCGCTGCAGAGGCTGCTGGCAGCTTTGCAACCCAGTGCTCAACCGCTGCCCCACTGGGGAGGCCCCTAAGTCACCTCTTGACGCTTAGTCTCTTGAACCTCATTTGCCCATAGAGAAGAAATTATTTCATTCATTCCCATAGTGTTGTGTAGAGAGCCATCTCAGTTTTAGTTCCGAGACTGCATTGTGCCTAATGCAGTCTGGCATAAACATTTTTATTTATTTATTTATTTATTTTTAAAATTTTTTTTTTTTTTTTTTTGGAAAAAGATTTATTTATTTATACAAGCACTGGGTACAGTCAGAAGCGTGGGGAGGGTGAGAGAATTCACCAGAGCCAGAGCAGAGAGCAGAACAGGCAGAAGGATCAAAGTACACTGCTGAGGGGAGCAGCGGACAGCAGGAGAGGTCTGCACGCCATGTGGGACCCTCCCCAGTAGCCGGGGATCGAACCAGCGCTGCAGACGCTGCAGGCAGCTTCGCAACCCAGCGCTCAACCGCTGCGCCACCGGGAGGCCCCATAAACATTTTTAAATTGTTTTCTTCCCCTCCACAGCCGAAGAGGATGAAGACAAGGAAGATGACTTCCGAGCTCCCCTATACAAAACGGTGGAGATCAAGGGCATACAGGTGCGCATGAAATGGTGTGCCACCTGCCGCTTCTACCGCCCTCCACGATGTTCCCACTGCAGTGTCTGTGACAATTGTGTGGAGGTAAGAACCCGAGTGGGATAGACTCGATGTGCCTTTCCATGGACTAAGACTTGCATCCTGTGGATTCTTGGCCTTGGGTGAAGCAGAGTTCTGGTTCGCTGCCTGGGTTTGTGTTCTAGCTCTTACAGAAGGTGTCAGCATCAATGTACACATGCGGGGTAGAGCAGAAATAGTCTTAACGGGAGGGGTCCATGTGGGCATAGGCTCTCCTGCCACCACGACCTATGGCTCCAGCCTTCCATGCCTTGGCTCGTGGCCTTGGTTTTCTGTCCTGCCTTTGTGTTACCTCGTTTTCACTACATCTCACTGTTGCATTCAGATTGTACCATTATATTTCTCTTCCTGACTGTTCTTTTGTATCCCTTGTCTTTTTAACCTTTTCCCCCCAATCCCTTTTTATATAGCTTATAAACAATTGCCTGCCAGAGTTTCTTTCCAAACCTCTTTTCTCATGAATCTTGATATTTTTGTAAAGCCTCTGATAATTGTCCCTTTCAGAGTTTCTTGGTCACACAGGATAAACTTTGATAGGTGGCCATGGCCTTTGACCAACCTTTGGAAGATCTTCCTTACAGATTGACAGAGCAAGATAAGTGTGTGGCCAATTTTCAATTTTGTAACTAAACAACAAACAGGATAACTGATCACGACTAAAGGATCTTAGGTTCTGCTGTTTGTTTCTCTTCTTGACAGAAGTGATCTAACGCTGTGTCCACGGATGCCTCTCAGTGTGTCTCTTTTTGCCCCTAGGAATTTGATCATCACTGCCCCTGGGTGAACAACTGTATTGGTCGCCGGAACTACCGTTATTTCTTCCTCTTCCTCCTTTCCCTGACAGCGCACATTATGGGTGTGTTTGGCTTTGGCCTCCTTTATGTGCTCTACCCCGTGGAGGAACTCTCAGGTGTGCGCACGGCTGTCACGTATCCTTCAAGGCCTGTGGGTTGCAGGATCGGGGGGAGGGCGTGGAACGCAGGAAGTTGAGTCTTTTGGTAGTGAGGGCCAAAAGGAAGATGACAACTGTGTGGGCTGGGGAAATTGAGATCATGTTGCTCTGTTTTCCTTGACTGTTTGGCTTCAGAATGGCAGTGATGTGTGTGGCTGGCTTATTCTTCATACCTGTAGCTGGGCTCACGGGATTTCACGTGGTGCTGGTGGCTAGGGGACGCACAACCAACGAACAGGTATGAGGAGCTCCTGAAGAACAGGCACGTCTCTTAGCCTGCTGATTAGTAGATAACTGTGTTTCCGCAGATACTTGGTTAATACCTTTTTGATGCTGTTGTCCGAGTTCCTCCTGTAAGCATGAGAATAGAATCCATTCGTAACTAAGTGTATACTGGACAGTTTAGACTCGGAGCATGTAGTAAATGACCTGGGCTGTCCCTCAAGTAGCTTACAGTGCTATTTAAAGGAGAAGTATTTTCATGGACGTAGTAATAGCTGACTTGCTTACTTTTGCTCTTATGTATGTTATCTTAGACTTCAGTATGCAGAGAGCTTTTTATCCCCATTTTACATGAGGCAGTTGCTGTTTTGGGTCAGATGGCTACCCTGAGTAGACCTAGGATTTGAATGAATGACCTTGACTCTATGTAGAATTTTCATCCTTAATAATCACAACTATAAGCTTCTTGATGGTAAGATTGTTTTATTCACTTTTGTATCCCCCAGATAGTGGGGGTGCTTGATAATTTGCTGATTTGTGTTTTGGAAGTCAAGTGCCTGTTGTCTGACTGATCTGGTCCTGTTTTCCTCCCTCTAGGTTACTGGTAAATTCCGGGGAGGTGTGAACCCTTTCACCAATGGCTGCTGTAACAATGTCAGCCGTGTACTCTGCAGCTCCCCTGCACCCAGGTACATCTGCCACTTTGGTTTTGTGTTCAACCTTGATCAAAACTTTTGTCCTCTTTTGTTCTGTTAGAGAGGTGGTCTGGCAGGAGACTGCCTTGTGGGAAGGGTGCTCTTAAGTTGGGAAGTGGCTGCAAGGGGCCCTCTGATTCCTGCTGGTGTTCTTCTGGTGTCACAGTTATTTTCCTTTGAGAGCTGAGCCTGAAGCAGGTGTCTGCCAGAGGGCTAGTGTCGCTGCTGTTCTTCAGCAGTGACAGAAATCAGTTCCGTGTTTCCTTTTCACTGGCCTGGTTTAACTGTCTTGTATTTGTAAAAATACTTTCTGCAGAGTAGGCAAACAGTAGGTATTTTTGAATGAATGAACAAATGAATGAAGACCCTCTTACTCTTGACATGCAGGTATCTGGGGAGACCAAAGAAAGAGAAGACAATTGTAATCAGACCTCCCTTCCTTCGACCAGACGTGTCAGATGGACAGATAACTGTGAAGATCATGGACAATGGCATCCAAGGAGAGTTGAGGAGAACAAAGGTGAGGAATTCAGGGAAGTAAAGGTGACTTAGGGAATCTCACCCATGACACAGATGCAGATTTGCTTTTAGTTTATATCTCCTGCAGTATTTATCATGTGTTGACACAGATTGTCTTTTTCTGTTCGATTGCAAGTTCATTCACAGAAATGGAGTCTGTTCATTTCCAGTCGTCATAGGGCTTAACGTAGTAGCTTAACAAGTGGTTGTTGGTGGAAGTGAACAAATAATTGACAGAAATAAATCCTCGTTGGAAACTTTTAAAATTTATCTATGCATACAAGAGCTGGGGTACAGGCCAGAGGTGCGGGAGATGAGAGGATTCACCAGAGACAGAGAGGGGAACAGAACAGGCAGACTGACTGAAGTACATTGCTGAGGGGAGGAGCAGGAGAGACAGGAGAGGTCTGCTGCTCCATGTGTGTCAGCTCCCTGGCTGGCTGGGGGCTGCGGATAGCTTTCCAGTGCTATGCTTAATCCCTTGTGCCACCAGGGAGGCCCAGAAACTTTCTTTATTCAATACCATCACCAAACTGACTCTTCCCTTGTCCAGTCCCAGTTTAGAGATATGTAATTGACTCCCTAACACACTTTTTATACCAGTTTAACACTTTTTTAAAAAAGATTTACTTTATTTATGCTTACAAGAACGGGGATATAGGCCAGATGTGCGTGGGGCGGGGCGGGGCACTGCAGTGAGAGGATTCACCAGAGTGGGGAACAGAACAGGCAGATCTACTGAATATACTGCTGAGGGGAGCAGCAGGCAAAACAGGAGAGGTCTGCGCCATGTGGGTTAGCTCCCTGGCTGAAGTTGAACTCAGGCCGCAGTGGCTGGCGATAACTGAGACTTTAACCCCAGCACCACCAGGGAGGCCCCCCCGTTTAACACTTTTGAGTTGCCCTAATGCTCAAACTCTGACTTTCCCAGTCTAAGGGAAGCCTGGAGATAACAGAAAGCCAGTCTGCAGATGCTGAACCTCCACCTCCTCCTAAGCCGGACCTGAGCCGTTACACAGGGCTACGAACACACCTCGGCCTGGCTACTAATGAGGGTAAGGCAGAGGCAAGAGTGAGGTTGTGTGTGTGCTGTAGGGAAGGCAGGCAGGGGCTGGATGATACTTGTGTTGTTGTTCCTGAAGACACTCAACAGGTGGGACATGAGAGGACCACTTAGGACAGCCAGGATAAAGGGGATGCTACTAGTTAGTGGCAGTAGCATAAATGGGGGGAGAGGGGAACTCTTAGCTTCTAGACAGACCAGAGAACATCCCTAAAACCTGGGTGGTGCATTCTCACTCTTGAGTTCTGCACAGGCTGGTGTGAGTCTTTGGTCTGATTTCAGCAAAATCATTTTCCTGGCACTTTGCTTTTGTTAGGTGTATCTATTCTGTATTTTGCTAGGTCTGTCTGTCTGTATTTTAAGAAAACTAGACAGGTTAAGAGAACAGCCTGTAAAGTGGTGCCTCCTGGGCATTTTTTCCTGCAGACAGCAGCCTCTTGGGCAAGGACAGCCCTCCCACACCTACCATGTACAAGTACCGGCCGGGCTACAGTAGCAGCAGCACATCAGCAGCCATGCCTCATTCTTCCAGCGCCAAGGTACTGAGTGTTCTTGTGAGAAGTAGGGTCATAACATAAGCCAACTGGGAGAAGGGAAAGAAAAGGCAGAGGGAAGAGAAACCCCAAACCATTTCCCTAATTGTTGGCATTTGGTGTGACTAAATTTCCTTGATATCAAAGAGGGAACGGTGTAGCATAACAGACAGAAGTACCAGGTACAATACAAGATCTGAGTTCAAATCCCTGTGGTGCCATCAGTCAAGTTACTTAACTCTCTTAGTCTCATTTTCGGCATCTTAAAATCAGATACTTGTTACAACTCATAGATCTGTTTTACGGCTTAAACGGGACATAATGCGTGTGAAAATTCTAATTTGATCAACTCTCCTTGGATTCTGGGGCCTAGAATCTGTCACAAGAGGAGTAGTGCTAAGAACCTGTTTTATTTTTTCCCCTCAGTTGAGTCGAGGGGACAGCTTGAAGGAGCCGACTTCAATTGCAGAGAGCAGCCGCCATCCCAGCTACCGCTCAGAGCCCAGCCTGGAGCCCGAGAGCTTCCGATCTCCCACCTTTGGCAAAAGCTTTCACTTCGATCCACTATCCAGTGGCTCACGCTCCTCCAGCCTCAAGTCAGCCCAGGGCACGGGCTTTGAGTTGGGGCAATTGCAGTCCATTCGTTCAGAGGGCACCACCTCCACCTCTTATAAGAGCCTGGCCAACCAGACACGCAATGGAAGCCTCTCTTACGACAGCCTGCTCACTCCTTCAGACAGCCCTGATTTTGAGTCAGTGCAGGCAGGGCCTGAGCCAGACCCACCTTTAGGCTACACCTCTCCCTTCCTGTCAGCCCGGCTAGCCCAGCAACGGGAAGCCGAGAGGCACCCGCGTTTGGTGCCAACCGGCCCAGCACACCGAGAGCCCTCACCAGTTCGGTACGACAATCTGTCGCGCCATATTGTGGCCTCCCTCCAGGAACGAGAGAAGCTGCTACGCCAGTCACCCCCACTCCCTGGCCGAGAGGAAGAACCAGGCTTGGGGGACTCGGGCATTCAGTCAACACCAGGCTCAGGCCATGCCCCTCGTACTAGTTCCTCCTCAGATGATTCGAAGAGATCACCCTTGGGCAAGACTCCACTGGGACGCCCAACTGTCCCCCGCTTTGGCAAGCCAGATGGGCTAAGGAGCCGGGCACTAGGGTCCCCTGAAGCAGGCTCAACTGCCCCATACCTGGGCCGATCTATGTCTTACAGCAGCCAAAAAGCTCCACCTGGTGTCTCTGAGATGGAGGAAGTGGCCTTGCAGCCGTTACTGACACCCAAGTAAGTATGAGTCCACACTGGCCCGTGAGTGGACAAGTAAGGCATCAGGCCTTCCTTGTACATCGTAGGGCAGGGGGCCCAGGTGCATCCTGCTTTGGGAGAGCTCTTCCTTCCCACTCTCACAGCAGCTGCTCTCATGGTCGTTCCTTTTAAGAGACAAGAGTAGTATTTTTTTCTTAACCTATCTTTTACAAATGATTTGCCCGAGAGTAGTTAAATAAGATCATTGCTCTTAAGAGAAGGAATAAATAATAGGGTAGAGAGGGAGCAGGCTTGTTTTAAATAGGGCAAGAGAACAAAAAATGGGTAAGAAAGTATGCGTGTCAAGAAAGAACTGTTTTTTTTTTCTTTCAAGCGATCCTTTTTGTGTGGAGCTTCTGACACCTCTTTTCTTCTTTTCCCAGAGATGAAGTGCAGCTCAAGACCGCCTACAGCAAATCCAATGGGCAGCCCAAGAGTATAGGCTCCGCCTCCCCCAGCCCAGGCCAGCCACCTCTTAGTAGCCCCACAAGGGGAGGGGTCAAGAAGGTGTCAGGGGTGGGTGGTACCACCTATGAGATTTCTGTGTGAGCCTTGCGGGACACCTCCCTCCCCCACGCCTCTATGCCTACACCAAAGGGCCCCAGGTGGCCACCTTCCTTTCCTCAAGGGGCTCCCCTCCCCTGCATGGACATTTTTTTAAACCACCAATTCCAAGAGGATGAGGAGCGTTTATAAAATGCAGCGGGGTTGGGGAGTCGGAGAGTTGGGGCCCTGAGACTGGGGTAGCAACCCCCTTCACCTTTTAAGACCTTCCCTCCCTTAACCCCTGGACCAGACTCAGTGGACATTTGTGCAATTGCTCGCCCTGGAGGGAACCAGATCATTTTTAAACCAGAAATAATTTTTTTTATTATTGTTACGGATTCTATTTTTTTCCTCTTCTGCGTTACCAGGTGTGTGTGTACATATATATATATATTATAAATATCAAAGAAATTATATATCTATCCTGGGATGGGAAAATGAGGGAGGGATCTATGTAAGGAGGGGCTCTTACTCTTCCCATTCCTCAGACCAGCAGGAAAAAAAGGGGAGGCATCAAGTCTTTTCTTCCCCATGGTTCCCTCTTACGTCCCAGTTACCAACTAAGGAAATAGCACCCCCTGTTGTTGGTGCTAAGTGATCAGGAAAGAAATTCGGGGAGAGGTGAGTCTGGGGTCTTGGTCAGAAGAGGAAAGGACCTGGAGAGGGGAATTCATTTTCTAGGCTCACTGGCACTTAATTTCCCCAGGAGGGGCGTCGCAGCCTCATGACTTTAATGGTGGGGGAGGGGGGAGGATCTGGAAAAAAGCCTGGCCTAGCTCCAGAAACAATATTGGATAATCCTCCCGTTTCGGGGAGAGGGATCAGGGTGGGCTTCTCCAATAAGCTCTGCAAAGCCTTTCCCCACACTTCACACAGTTAACATTCTTTTTAAATCAAGGCCAGGAGAGAAGACTCCAAAAAGCAATATTTTTCATCACATGCCAAAAACGGGATAGAGAGAAGGAGTGGCAGGCCTAGGCCCTCCGATTGTCCCTTGGGGGTTACCCCTCCGCCCACCTCAGTATGGTGCTGGGTAGAGGGGATACCTGGGTTCTAACCTCTAAACAGGGGAGACCCCAGCCTCTAGGCAGAGGCCCTTTTATTTTTTATTCTGATTAGCCATTTTAAACCGACAAGGAATAAAAAAATCCTGATCTAACCAGCTCCCCCTGACTGGTGTGGTTTTGTCTGGCTTAGGCAGGGTGAGTGATCACTAAGAACATAACCCACTTCTGGGCCTGGCCCACATTGAGGCTGACTGCAGCGAAAGGAAGTTGCCATTTAAGACAACAGATTCTGGTTTGTTTCCACGGTTGATGGAAAGAGCCCTGAAAAAGATACCTTGCAATCATCAAAGCTGCTTCTCACCCCAAGCTTAGAGGACTTGCAACTGCGCCACCATTGTGCCTTAGCACTGAATTCTCTCTGGAAAGGAAGGCTCATTTTGGACGGACAGTGGATGATGGAAGGGAAGCCTGTTGCAGCAGACGACACGGGGTGTGGCTCAACAAATAGCTTGTGTTGTCTCTTCTGTTTGTCAGAAGTCAGTTCCCTTACTTTAGTAGGCATCCTCAGACACGCCACCCCAGGAAACTGGCCAGAACCCTTTACTTTTACTGCCCGTAACTCACGTGTATAAACTCTTGCTTTGAAACTCTCCATGAAGACTGACTGAATGGTTTCCCTTCTGCTGATGCGGGAACAGCCTTGGCTCACTGCAAGACTTTAACTGTTCCATGTCAGATTTAGCTGAGGTTACATCAGCTTGGGTTTCCCCCTAGATGTTCAGTTACCGGGACTGCTGCAAAGATTGAAGGAATTTATTTTACATTTTGCTAGTTTAGGCCGCCTTACTTGAGAAGCTTAGAAATATTTTCACATCGATGATATTACATTGTCTTACTGAGGAAGGAGGCCAAAAATTCTTTAAAAAAAATCATTTACCTTTGCTTACCAGAGGTTTATTTAAAAACATTATAGGCTTGACCACAAATTAACTTCATTGAAATATACCGGTGACTGTGGGCACGTTTCAGCTGGCTATTCTGGTTCAACACAAAATCAACCTAGAACAGAGTTGAGCCCAGACTGGATCAGTTCTTCAGGTGGACCCTGAAAGTCATCCAGGCACTTGGTTCTCCACCTCATGGGCAGAGCATTCTAACATCATGTGTCTGAGGTGGAAAGGTATTAATTAGGGAGCTCTGCCTCACTGTTGGACCATCTCACCTTGGTTGTATCCCTGCCTGCTAATAAGAAAATGTAACAACCCAAATCTCTTCAGATTTTAGCGTGCCTCAGCTTATACCCTTACTTGTGTAGAAAGGCACTTACCTCTTCACAGGCAGCCATACTTCAGCCAGTTCACTAAATGCAAAAAAATTTTTTCCAAAGAAAAGCCCTAACAGATGAAGTCCTAAGTTAGACAAATTGCACAAAAGAAAAGAGAATTTCCTGGGAGAGAAAGAGATGTCCGTGAGAGAGCCAACTGGGCTGGACCTTACAAAAAACATGGTCCTTCTCTCAGTGCCTTAGTCCTGAGCATAGCAGGAGCTGCTCTGACCCAGCTGCAGGTGTTCCCAAGATGGTGTCCAAGGGCCGGGAAGGCCACTTTCATCAGCAGGTTCAGTGCAGCAGGAAAGTCCTTTGGGGACAGCCCAGGAGTCCCATTAGCGGAGGCTGCTACTGCTGCTGGCCTGAGAGCTGCCCATCCCTGGGTGGTCTGGACTGTGTCGGTTCTGGGGAAGACAGGAGGAGGGTGAGAGGACTGCCAGGAAGTAGCCTTGGCCTTAACCAAGGCTGTACAGGAAGACAATGCAACTTGCCCTGGGTTTTCAATCACGGGTCAAAACTGAGGCAAGGAGCGTTACTTAAGACATGAGGAGGCTTAAGATGGGAAACTTGCTGGGCCCCTCCCCTACCTTCTTTTTCTTCTTCTCTTTCTTCTTCCTTTTCCGTTCCGGATCCTCCTCTTTTTTCTTTTTCTTTTTCTTATGATCCGAATCAGAGGGTGTTTCTGTAGGAGACATTAGGTGCCTATCATCTGGAGAGCTCAAAATTCCCTACTGCTGGGAACACTGCACACCACAGGAAAACCTTGGTCAAGTAGGGGTGGGCAACTTTTTCGTCAAACAGCCAGAAGGCCAGAAAGCATACCGAGGCACTGCGAAAGCCCTGGTTTGTACTTGCCCAGGAGACCCCGTACATCAGTTTCTTTCAGGAAAATCTGGGAGTTCATGGCCCTAGAAAGGACTTAACTGGGTTTTTAAGTGACGAAAGTTGAGCCAGATTCAGAACATCAGACTGCCTTTGAATGGCACTGCTTCTTACCTGGGGGAACGGGATCCTGGGTACGGCTCTGTTTGTGCTTTTGCTTATTCTTCTTCTTGGGAGGCTGAATGTGCATCAGACGACACTGCTCTGGCAACTGGCAGAACCAAAGGAAGGTCTGAGTGAGTATGGGAAACAACTCCCCTGTTCCCATCTATTCTGGTCCCCAAGTTAGGAAGGAACACACGGACAGGAAAACCAACACTGGGGCCTCTCTGGTGGCGCAAGGGGTTAAGCATCGCATTATGAAGCTATCTACAGCCTCGGCAGCACGAGTTTAATCCCCGGCCAGCCAGAGAGAAACCCGCGTGGTGAAGCAGACCTCTCCTGTCTCACCCGCTGCTCCCCTCAGCAGTGTGTTTCAGTCAGTCTGCCTGTTCTGTTCCCCACTCTGTCTCTGGTGAATCCTCTCACCCCCTGCATCTCTGGCCTGTACCCCAGCTCTTGTATGCATAAATAAATATTTTAAAAAAAAAAAAAAAAACAACACTGTCTTTCATGCCTCCCCATCTGTCTCCTTCTTGCCCAAGAGGAGACTCACCGGGCCAGTGTGGAGGCGGAAGCCAGCCAGCATGGTCCCTGTGATCGGATTAAAAGAGCCACCAAGAATAGGGGGCTTCTCAATGAGGGAGCGGAGGCTGCTGTTGTCATGGGAACCAGGCAGGTCAATCATCCCTGGCAGGTCAGGCAGGAAGTTACTCAGCTTCTCCTTCATCTTCTTCCCACAGAATCTGTGGTAGGCATGTTCCAGGTTGTAGTGTGTGATCAGATTGGTGCTGCCTGTCAGCTCTGTGCTTCCTGAAAGAAAAAAAAAACAAACAGTACTAGTCCCAAGAGTATTTTTTTTAACTCACTGACTCAGACGGAATGTGAAGGACTGTATTTTAATCTAAATAAGGAATCTTTTAGGTGAGAATTCTAACAATTTAAATTGATTTTTAGAATGAAAACCAGCAATATTAAGCAAAAGCATAACACACACTAAAATGTAAATACTGGAGAATGGTGGGTTCGATATAGGAAGGAGGGAAAAAATAGGTAAAAACCCAAAATAGTGCAGAGACACTGTTCCCAGCCAATGAAGCAGATACCACACTTGCCCTGGACTAACCAGAATTACCACCTTAATGATGTCACTCCACTACACAATGTTCTGAGTGCTTGTCATAAAATTTATTAGTGAGAAATACTCTGACACAATCAGGACACCATTACCTCACAGCTCAGTTATAGCCACACTGCGGACCAGCAAATGATCTAGTGGCATGAAAGTCTAGTGAAGGGCTTTCCTTTTTTTCCTAGCAAGAAACACTAATCACCTTTACAAACAGCCTAGACAAACAGCCAGGAGATTTTTCTTGGTACTGCTGCCTGCCCCATTTAAAATTGTCACTCTTTTTACTCTTCCTCAAAACACCAAATATAATTTTTGCCTAGAAGAAAGAAATGTTTGATTAGAAGATGGACAACAGGAATTCTAATCCTAAGCATCCCCTGTGCCTCAGTTTCCTCTTATCTACGGACTGAGGTAATAACAGCTATCCTACGTATATTTAATTATTTTCAAAGTTCAAGTGAAACACTGAAAAGTGTAACAATGCATTAACATTTTAAATAATCCAAGGTGGCTTTTTTTCAAAGAACATAAACATTTACTAAGGATCCAGTGGAAGAATCCAGTCTACCATTTCATCTACAGGTATGAAGAACACTTAGGGTACAAATGACCAAGAAGCTTGTTTATAATCACTTGTGAAATGTCAATTTCTGTGAGCTCAAGGACAGGGACAAAGTCTTTTTCATGTATCACTGGTGCTCAGCACGGTGACCACACTTGGTGCTCAGTAAATGCTAAGTGAACAGGGCATTTTCCAATACCCTCTAGGTCTTCCCATGCCTGTCTCCCCTCGCCCTTTTCCTTCCATGCCCAATGTCTCAGAAGAGTGGTCTATTCTCATGGCAGGAGACTCAGCACCACAGTTTTCTCCTCAACTCTGCATTGCCTCCCACCATTATAGCTCTCCTTTCTCCAGGTGGTTATGCTTAAGGTTCAAGTTAGTTAGCATGCTGTGCTTTTTCTAAGCGCTTTGTGTCCATCCAATTTTTTTTAAAGTTTTATTTATTTATGCATACAAGAACTGGTCTATAGGCCAGAGGTGTGAGCATTCACCAGAGACAGAGTGGGGAACAGAACAGGCGACTGACTGAAGAACAGTGTTGAGGGGAGCAGCGGGCGAGTCAGGAGAGGTCTGCTGCACCATGTGGGTTGCTACCTGGCTGGCCAGGGATTGAACTCGTGTTGCAGTGGCTGTGGATAGCTTCATAGGTTGCGTCTTAACCCCCTGCCACCAGGAAGGACCCAACTTTTCTGCTTTGACTATTAGTTTTAGGAAGATGATTTACAGATCTTTCTCCCAGCCTGACTCCTCTCCTGAAAACTAATCTTGCATTTCCCATTTCTTCGCAGTCAATTCCATGCAGATTCAACCTTCACACTTTAGCTCATTATTTTCTTAGAGAAAGGGCTTCTCTGATCACCTGAGCTAAAGTAGTTCTGCCCTTTCTATCACATTTTCCCCATATAGTACTAATCACTATCTGACACCTTGTTTAATTTTGCCTCCTCTACTGACATGTAAACTCAAAAAAAAAAAAATACACCCCACAAGGATCTTATCAGTTTTGTTCACAATTGTATCTTCAGCATTTAAAAGAGAGCTTGATGTGCAGCAAAAACAATGCTTTGAATGAAAGACTCTGGTTCAACTCTAACCACTTCTTCCAACAGATGAGGAAACACCGTGGCCCTGAGGAGGGCAACAAGCACCAAACCAAATGTAAGTCTGTGGCACATTGGAAAATAATAACCTTAGGTGCACAGGGATGTCGAATCAAGGATGTTAGGTACTCTCGAGCTTCAAAATCAAACCCTCACAAATCTTTAGGGAGCCATAAATCAGCATCAGTGACAGTGGGCAGACACGGTGTGAAACACAGTCACGAAGACGCATTCTCTCCCCAGCCCATCCCAAGAACTGGTGTCATCCCTTTGAATGTGAACCCGGAGAGCCCTCTCACTTCGAGCGCCTGGTCCTAGCACGCCCTGCCCAGGTGACTCGCACCTGCACCCCGCCGAGAGCCACGCCCACCACCTCTGCTCTGATTGGCCGGCTTCGGCCAGGCCGAGCACTCACCTGGCAGCTCCCGCATCAGGTAGAAAGGACCACAGCCAGCCGCTGACTTGTCGGGTGGGGCCGTGACCGCGGTGGGGGGCGGGGCCGTGCCGGGCCCCCCGCCCGGAGGAGGGGGAGGAGGGGGTGGAGGCTTTCCTGGTCCGAAGCCGAGCGCGGTGGGAGGCGGTGGTGGGTCAGTCTGAGTTCCAAACAGCGCGGTGAAATTCTCCATCGTCCCCTCGGCCCCAGCGCCGTCCCGGTCTGGCGCTGGTGGTTCTCATTGGACAATCCTTTCACGCTGTCCCGCCCCCTTCCCCGGGGAGCCGCTTATCATTGGATGCATTTGGCCCCGCCTACCCTCTTCCGGCAGCCACTTCCGTCGCTTTCTGAGCACGTTCCGGAAGTGCTATCTGACCTTGTTAAAGTCTCTGATATCTGCGCCAGCCACACTCACAGAGCCAATAAAATGACTTAGGTGGGAAAACCGAAGGTTAGATTGACCTATAAAGCATCAAGTCCCTTTCGGTACTTACCGGGGCGCCCAATCAGAGATCTACTTCCGGGGCCCGCGCCGGGGCATCCGCGACAAGGCCCAATCGCAGGCTCAGCGCGGGGCGGGGCCAAGCCTGCGGCGGGCCGGCAAGATGGCGGTCCTGGCACCTCTCATCGCTCTTGTGTACTCGGTGCCGCGACTTTCGCGATGGCTGGCCCGACCTTACTACCTCTTGTCAGCCCTGCTCTCTGCTGCCTTCCTGCTCGTGAGGAAGGTGCCCCCGCTTTGCAACAGTCTCCCCACGCAGCGCGAAGACGGCAACCCGTGTGACTTTGACTGGGTGAGCGACCCCCGCCTTAGCGCCCCGCAACCCTGGCCCTGAGCTTCCGTCTGCGAGCCCTGAGGGTCACCTTTTTGCGGATACCTGAGGTTCCGAGTCTGTAGCGGGCTTAGAGACCGTTAGCGTGGAGGGTCTGGGCCGTCACCGAGTCTAAGTGATCCTGTTATAGGACAGGGAGAGGGGCAGCCCAAATCCCGCAAACCTGCCTATTCTAAATGGGTTCTGCCATCCGCCGCATCCACTTTTGTATCGGGGTTGCTCTACAACAACCCTCTCTGTGTTTAAGATGGGAAAACAGGTTAACCTGCGCTGCAGCCCGGTCTCCGGACTCTGAAGTCCAGGGTCCTTTCCGGCCGCCGGTTCATACCTGTCAACAGCCCGACCCCAGCTACACCTGTACAGTGTTTTACTGTGATGCTCAAGTCAAGTCTCCAGAGGAACCAGGGAGGCAGACAAGGCACACAGTAACCCTGTTTCATTGATGAAGAAATTGGTATATCGGTGTGGTTAGGCGTCTTGCCCAAGGTCACAACTGAGGAGTGACTAGGACTTGACATGACTCTTCCGATCGTAGCTCTTGTACACTCTAACCGCCATTTTTTAAAATTCAGTTAACGTTTCCAGTGAGCCTTTATGTGCTAGATATTATGCACACTTGTGGCGGAACAAAAATGAATTCAGATCGTTGGGCTTCTTTGAGTAGGAATTGTAAAACACGTGGGAGAGAAATCTAGCCCAAGGCTCTGACTTCCAGGAGGGTAGGAGCTGGAGGGGCCGCTCCGAAAAGTGATTTGAAATTCTATGCCTTCTGCTATAATACAGCATCTGTGTTCCAAGGAGAAGGGTCATCAGAATTTTTGTCTTTTTTTTTTTTTCCAGTCCCCAAAATGAGTCTTGACCTTTACCTGGACGTTTTTCTTTGTCCTTCACTTGTTTGCTCTTTCATGCTTCCTCTGTCCTTTCCCAGACAGTGTTATTAATTAGCTGAAATGTAACCAGGCTGTTTCTAAAGACCTGTTTTCATCTGATATGCTACACTATTTTAGCCAAAATGCTATTGGAAAATATGAATGGATAATAATAAAAATGTTAATAAATGTAGGGACCTTTTATATAATAATTCATATACTCGTGTCTAATAGTGTGTTTAGTGCTGGTTGGTTGTATACTTTGTAATTACTCTGACAGAATTTTTCATAGTTAATGTTTGTTTTCCTGGAAAAAGCCAGTGTTTCTTCCTGGAAAATCTGTGTTTTACCAATAGTCCCTGTAACAAAAGACATAGTAAAGGCGGAAGTACCTCATGTATATACATGGGGAGATACTTAAGGAAGTGGCTTCACATTCTGGCTTATAAATCGTCTTCAACAAGAACAATACTCTCTGTAGAGAGTATTGCTTGCTTGTACTCGCCCCCCGCCCCCACCCAGGAGGGCTAGTCTGCAGTTCTACCTCTGTCCAGGGAGGCAAGAGTCTGCTGCAGTATGCCCGGGAGGAAAGGAAACCAAGTTTATAGTGTACAGAGCCGGTCTCCACCATAGATTCATTTTCTCTCTTTAGAGAATATTCCTTTTAGTTTTCTCTTTGGTCTCCTGATTGACCATCTTTCACAGTTGTAAATGCCAATTCTAACCCAGTTTCACTCCTATAAACTCTTTTTTTTTTTTTTTTAAGATTTATTTTTATTTATTTACTTGTTTGTTTGTTTGTTTACACAAGCACTGGGTACAGTCAGAAGCGCGGGAGGGTGAGAGAATTCACCAGAGCCAGAGCGGGGAGCAGAGCAGGCAGAAGGACCGAAGTACACTGCTGAGGGGAGCAGCGGGCGGCAGGAGGGGTCTGTGCACCATGCGGGACCCTCCTCCGGTGGGCCGGGGAGCAGCCGGGAATCGAACTGGCGCTGCAGAGGCTGCAGGCAGCTTCGCAACCCAGCGCTCAACCGCTGCGCTACCGGGGAGGCCCCTATAAACTCTTAATTTCTGTTCAGTACAGTGTTTAGTGACGTCTGTCTTTTTTCCTAACCCCCACTTCCATGACCATAAATCCTGTCAATTGCTTTTTGTTGGATTTTGAGGCTAAAAACCTGGTCCCAGACTCCTAGCAGTAAATTGCAGTTGACTGCTGCTGTCTGAATAATAACTTCAGTCCCTGCATTGTAAGCTGAAAGGTGTGGAAAGCCTCAGACCATTCAATATGTAGTTCACCCTCCCCTATGCTTTCTATCAAATGGTTCTTGTTATTTTTCATTGCAGCCCCACTGAGGTTATCTTGTTTCTCTGTCATTTATTGCCTGTCTCACTTGCTCACCTGGAGTGTATGCTCTAGAAGGTGAGAAAGAACTGTAAGCCAAGGGTACTGAAAAAGCACCTGCAAGAGTTCTGACAGGTCTCTTTCAACTCTCAAATTATATTAAAGGTGTGTGGGTTATCACTGAGTACTGTGGGGAGAGGAATGATCTAACTTAAGCAAAATGAAACAAATGAAATAGCCAGATATTATATCAATAGGCTATTACTGGGAAAGTTTCCCTGGAAAATCTTTATCAGGGTAACCCTGAGTTGTTTGTAACATCTTGAAGTTTTACACTGTATTATACTTCATATGACTCTCATTCCCATTATCTCATTTAATCCTCATAATAGTATTTGTACATGGATGTTTAGTTGACAAAACCAAAATCCTGAGATTAAGTGATTTGCTGAAAGGCCTCAGCCAGTGTTGGGCAGGGGTAGAACCAGAGGCTGGGTCTTCACTACCCCTTAGCTGATTCCAGTTATTTATTGTTACTTTTCCGGTCCGTGGATCTGTTGGGTTTTGTTCCATATTTGGCCTTTTCACCCAACTCAGTCATCTCTGCTCATGCACTCCTGTCGCTGACTCTGTTGCAGAGAGAAGTGGAGATCCTCATGTTCCTTAGTGCCATCGTGATGATGAAGAACCGCAGATCCAGTAAGTGTAGCTTCGCAGTCTCGAGGTCAGGTTTGCTGCTGCCAGAGGTGCTTTCATTCATGTGGTAAGAGGGCCGTCATGTAGTGGCCCTCATTCTGTGCCAGGGCTGAGTAATGGATTTTTGGTAATGGAACACTTCAAAGTGTTCCTGGAAGGAGGGCAAGATACAAGCGTGCAGCCCAGCCTGACCTGTGATATTTTTGTGTTTCAGTCACCGTGGACCAGCACATAGGCAACATCTTCATGTTTAGCAAAGTGGCCAATGCAATTCTTTTCTTCCGCCTGGATATTCGCATGGGCCTGCTCTACATCACGCTCTGCATCGGTAAGGAAGCTACAGGAATCTGGTTGTGGGAACCAAACTCTGGTCCCAAACCAGTTTCTCCACACCCTTCCATATCTTGTAGCTAATTAATTATATGTGGCTCAGATGATAAGAATCTGCAGAGATTTTGTTTTAAAAGGAAAGGAATGTATCTGTGGTGTTTGTAATGTCTACGAAGTGTATTCTTTGGTGCCTGAAACCTTGGGATGGGTTTGCAAGTAAACCCCCTTCCCCAGGCCTTGTATGTTTCCTGTGACATCTTTTTTTTTGTGTTTAGTGTTCCTGATGACATGCAAACCCCCTCTGTATATGGGCCCTGAGTACATCAAGTACTTCAATGATAAAACCATTGATGTGAGTGCTCTTCCTCCCTTTGCTTTTGGGTCCCTTGGGGGTGATTTTGTAGTTGTGCGCTCTCCTCACTAGGAGGAGCAGGAGTACTTCTGAGTGGAAGTCAAGGGCCTGTGGTTCCTTAAGGGAGCTCAGGTGGGGGAGGGAAGCCAGGAAGAGGACACTGCCTTGTGCCTGTGTGACCTGGCTCACTTTTTCTTCCCTGTGTGGCAGGAAGAGCTGGAGCGGGACAAGAGGGTCACGTGGATTGTGGAGTTCTTTGCCAATTGGTCTAACGACTGCCAGTCCTTTGCGCCTATCTATGCTGACCTCTCCCTCAAGTGAGTAGTCCAACGGGAGGAACAGTGAAAACGGGGGTGCTGCACCTTCCCTTTCGTTGTCTCTGGCCTTGATTTTTGCACATGGCAACCAAAGGCATCACCTGCTCTCCCCAAATAACTGTACTTCCACTTCCCTTGGTCCATTCTCCAGTCTTGGGCTGTGTTACTAATGCATCCTTCTTAGGTACAACTGTACAGGGCTAAATTTTGGGAAGGTGGACGTTGGACGCTACACGGACGTCAGTACGAGGTATGTAAGGGCCCGGGCAGAGAATCGCTTTGAATGCTGTATACAGATTCATTTACTGGGTGTTTTCTGGGTCTTGTAGGTACAAAGTGAGTACATCGCCCCTCACCAAGCAGCTCCCTACCTTGATCCTGTTCCAGGGTGGCAAGGAAGTCATGCGGCGGCCGCAGATTGACAAGAAAGGACGAGCCGTCTCTTGGACTTTCTCTGAGGTACATGAAGAGAGAGCAGGTATTTTGGAGAAGGATGAGGACAGGTGGGTGGGCTTTGGGGCTCCACCTGGGTTTGAGTCCTAGCCCTGCCAGTAGCCTGCAAGCTTGGAGAGTGCGCACTAGTTGTAGCTGTAATTCTTGACACAGTGATTGGTACAAAAAACATGTACTGAAATATTAGTTGACTTTTCCAGGTACCCAAACAAGGAGAGTTAGGGTTAAAATAGACTTCCGTTCTTTGCTTCCTCCTTTTCTAGACAGCTCCTAAGCCCATCTTCCTTCCCGGGCTCTGAAGTCTCACACCCTGAACCCTGACGTGCATCTCTTTTAAACAGGAGAACGTGATCCGAGAATTCAACTTGAATGAACTCTATCAGCGGGCCAAGAAGCTGTCGAAGACTGGAGAGAATATCCCAGAGGAGCAGCCTTTGACCCCCACCCCCACTGCAGAGCCAGATGGGGAGAGCAAGAAGGACAAATAGGGTCCTTGCGTTGTCATTCCCAGGCACCTGGGAGGCCTTGGCCCTTCTGTAATCACAAACCCTACCTGAGGCTTTGGCCTTTTATTTATGTTTTCCCCTGTGGGTGGGGTAGGGTGATTTTAAAGAGGCAGCCAGGGAATTGTCAAATACCCTCCAGCAAGGTCTCTACTTCTGCGGCCAACTGCTCACTGGGGGAAGGGGAGAGATGGCAAACAAAGGAGGAGGAAATGCTTTCTCTCCAAGTCTGGGTCAGTGTGTCAACTGCTGTCCACCTGTTTTGTGGTTTCCTCTTAGCCACCTACACAGCTACTTAAATTAGCTTGAACCCTAACATAAGATGCCAGGGTGCAGAGGCAGCACTAAGATTTTCCTTCGAGGAACCTTGCTTCTTTAGGCCCTTCTGGCTTGGTCTGTGGCCTTCATTAAAAAGTCTATGCCTAACTGGGTTACTTACTGATTCCAGGGAGAAACCACAGAATTTTCTCACTGGCGATAGTATTGAATAATCCCCCTATTTTATGGAGGGATTAAGGGGTCCGTTTGAGACTGTCTTCTGTGCGGTGGGGCCTGGAGGTGAAAACACCTGGTTAGGATTGGGGTTTCCACCAACCATCCCTTGCGTGGTTTTCCATAATAAAGACGGTGGAATTTTCTTTTGATTGCGCCTCTGTGTGGCCTCTGTGTTTATCGTGCATTGGAAAAGCCTGCAATTGAGGAGGGACTGCCCAGCCCCTTCACTGCAGAGGCCACTGATTAGTTTCCCCCAAACCAGGCATTGGACCCAAGGATCGGGGTGAGGTGGGGAAAGCTGCTTTCGGTCGTCCGCGTGCCCACCGCACCCCGTTATAAAAGGTGGTTTTGGCTGGGGATGGGGTCCCGGGAAGGAGAGGCGGGCGGGGTCGGGGTGCGCTTCACGCGGACGCGCGGCGGCGGGAAAGCCTCGGAGACGCCATCGCGGCGTGCGGGCCACCTGACCCGCCTCGGCCGCCCCCGTCCCGCCCTCCCCCTCCCCTTCCCGGGCCCCGCCCACCCCGCGGGCGCTGAGTGGCTGCGCCCGGGCCCCGCCTCCAGGCCGCGCCGCGTCCCCTTCCTGCCGCGCGGGCTTCTCGCGCGGCGCCTCCGGCGGGTGCGCGGCTCGCGGTCGGCGGCCCGGTCTCCACCCGGCTCCCGGCGCGGTCGGCGGCGCCCGCGGGCTCAGCGCCATGGCGCCCCGCGGGAGGAAGCGGAAGGCCGAGGCGGCGGGGGGCGCGGCGGCGGAGAAGCGCGAGAAGCCGGCGGCCGGCCCGGAGGGCGAGGCGGCCGTGGTCATCGAGCACTGGTGGGGTGGGGGCGGGGGGCGGGGGGGGGGGGGGGCGGGCGCGGGCGGGGGGGGGGGGGGCGCGCGCGGGCGGCCGGGCTGACTCCCGTCTCCCCAGCACCAGCTGACGCGTGTTCGGGCGCCAGGCCGCCGCCCTGAGCCAGGCGCTGCGCCGCGAGGCCCCCGCGCTGCCCGTGACGGTGAACCCGGCCCGCCCCGCCGGGGCAGCTTCGAGGTGACGCTGCTGCGCCCGGACGGCAGCCGTGAGTGGGGCGCGGCCGGGGGAGGCGCGGGACGCCGGGGCTCGGGGCTGTGGCGCCCGGTCAGCCGGCTCTCCCCGCGTTCCCAGGCGCGGAGCTCTGGACCGGGATTAAGAAGGGGCCGCCGCGCAAGCTCAAGTTCCCGGAGCCGCAGGCGGTGCTGGAGCAGCTCCGGAAGCACCTGCCGTAGGGCGGGCGGAGGACCGCGCGGAGGTGCGGGGCGCGGCGCGGCGGGGCGGGGCGGGACCGGGCGGGCGGGACGGGGCCTGACCTTGGTGCGGCCGTTTGTGCCGCGGCCCGGGGCCCCCCGCTTCTCGGTCTGTACCTGTATTTTCAAAAACGCTGTTGCCGCAAGGATCGCCTCTCTGGGGCGTCCCGCTGCCCCAAGACTGGCGGGAAAAGCGAGTCGGCGGAAGACTGGCCCTCACCTAGAGACTGCGGGTGGTGACGCGATTCTTTCCAGAAACGCGACTTGCATTCTTGGTAGATGCAGCTATTGCCCTTTGGGGGGGCAGTTAATCCATTTTCTACATCCCGCAATGCTGTGTCTGGATTCTTTCAGCTGGTCGTAAATCACTCCTGTCCTTATGACTTAGTCATTGACTCGTGCTTTTCTATTTTTTGGGTCGTGACCCCCCCCCTTGCCTGGCAGACCCGGGCGTCGTGTGCGCTCACCCCCCACCCTCCTGGGTACTGTTGTTCCCGGTATGCCCTGAGCATCCCTCCTGATGACCCGCATCCCATTGTTGTCACTTCTGGTCACAAGGACTTGGTGTTTCATTTGCCCATGATGTGGCTGGGACGGGGCACATTGTCTGGACCCCTTCTCTAATCTTATGTCTTCCCTCATTTTCACAGCCTTCCTCCTGGTGATGTTGGAGCATTCATGATGGGACATGACCAAACTTCAGTCATGTGCCTGAAGCATAGCTTCTCCTCCAGAAATGAAGGTTCAGTTCTGTGGCAACCCTCCAGCGAGGCATTGGAAAGTTCTTAGATTTGGTTTGTTTAATAAAACTTAAAGTGTTTGATATAAAATATTTGAGCAATAAAGTAAAACTTAATCTGCATGTAAGCGATGGACAAAGCCAGCCTTCTGGGATTAGTCGCCTTTCAGTTACCTGGAACCCCTAAAGTCTCTGGTAAAGGATGTGAAATAAGTATGGGGGAAAAAAGTAAATAATTTATTTTTATAAAAGCAACTACTTTTTTCAACTCACTTCTTGGAAGTGATGAAGATGGAGGCTCTGGCTGGACTTTCCATACTCTGCAGTGAACAAGCTCCACACATTAGCTACTGGGTAAAATCCTGTTAGTCCCTTGCCACTTAATGTTCTGTCCCAACACTGTTTCACACCTTGTTCTGGAGGGTACACGGGACCCCCCCACCACAGAGGGTGATTTACCAACTTTTCCCAAATTAGCAGTGACTAGGTAACTCATAACCTGGGAGACCTGGCCTTGGCCTTCTGGAGTTGGGGGACCACAATTTATTGTCTCACTTGTCACTAACTGGAAAATAGATTACAGAGAAATAAGGTGGTTCAAGTTCATAATTTTCTACCCATGGTACTACTTCTGCCTGGCTTCCAAAATCTGGGGAGGGGAGGCCTAGAGAGCCAGGGGTACATCTGACTCTTGGGCAGAGAGAATAGGGCCAGTGCTAGCCTCTCTGTGAACACATTTTGCTAGCTGACATCTCCCATCTCCCAGTGCTCCTAACCTTCCCTCCCCACTTGGCTACGTTAGTATATCTATCTCTGTTTCTGACTCCGAGGAAGGGTCAGGCCATACGGAGGGAATGTTGGCGGGCACCAGCTTCCCGTCTGATGTCCAGTCTACCACGTCAATCTCTTCCTCCTCGGGGCTGGCAGGAAGTGGGCTCAAGTCAGAGTTGTCAAATACCTCCTTGGCTGCCTCTGGAGCAGGGTATAATACCTCATCCATACTTAGGGGCACTTCCAGCCCAGACTCCCCCCAGTTTGAAGAGGGAGGTGAGAGCTCCCCATAGGCCCTCTGGGGTGGGTCAAGGGAGTCAATGTGGAGAAGTTGGTTCCTTTGCCCATGCAGTGGCTGGCAACTGGTCACTTCCAGGTCTGGAGTCCAAGAGCCTCCCACTGAAAGCACCTCCCCTTCACTCATCTCTGAGGGGATGGCAAGGGGGCTAAGGGACTCAATTGGCTCTTTGTTCTCAGAGGGCAGGACAAGGGGGCTAAAGGGCTCAATTGACTCTTTGTTCTCACCAACAGGTTCCTTTTCCAATCCTGTGAGCTCCCTGGGCCAGAGTTCCATGTCTGGTAAACACCATTCTTCCCCCTCAATCCAGTTCTTTCCAGTTTCTGTCAGGTGGTAATTAGGGGTCCTGCAGCTCTCAGCCCTGGGACTCTCCAGAGCCCCTAACGGCGGCTCAATATCTGAGCCACAAAGCATGAAGTCCAGGATCTCCTCCAGCTCGCTGGCGGCAGCAGCACTGGTGATTCTGTACTCCTCAGCTTCACAGGGCGGCCCGAGCAGGGTCGTGTCAAACGCATAGGGTTCTCTGCAGTCAATATCCAATCCAGGCTCCTTCCCCACCAGCTCTGGACTGGCCCCAAACTCACACTTCACTGTGGGCTGGTCTGGGGAGTGGCGAGCAGACAGCAAAATGTCTTGTAGCCTAGAGCACACCGGTGAGTCCTGACGCGGGTCTAGTCTAGCCGATGACATTTCTTGCTCATTAACAGAGTGTGGCCGAGTCCCCGGAGGCTCTTCCAGGTCTCCAGGTCCTGGGATCTGAGGGCTCTCTTGGGAGTGTTTGAGGGGAGGCTCTTGCACCACCTCCCAGCAGGTTCCGTTGACGATCTTCCTCAGCTTCACTCTCCCTACCTGCCCCTCCTCTGCAGCATCTGAGTTAGGTGTTCTGACTTCAGGGCTTCGCTTCTTGCTCCCACCTGTCTTCTCAAGACCAGAAGGGCTGCCTGGAGTGCTCTGTAGAGCACTCTCCCTCCCTGGTTTCTGCTTGGCCTCTGGTGCATCTCTGTTTACACTCTTCTGCCGCCAAAGACGTCGGCCAGGAGCTGCAGATACTGAGCTGGGGCCGCTCACAATGCTGGAAGGCTTGGATGTACAGATGTCAGGAGACGGCTTGGAGCGACTCAGCCTGATCTTTCTGGGCAAGAGTCGCTCATCCACGGAGGGGCGGTACAAGCCGGGTGGGGAAAGTGCTGGAGGACCAAGGGCAGGGCCACTCTTGTTCTCTTTAGGTCCCTGGCTGTGGCTTGGTGAAGCGCTTTTTTCTTGCAGAGCTGGGCAGGCTCTGGCCTTCTTCTTGAGCAGAAGAGCGCCAGACAAGGTCTCTGTGTTCTGTCGGTTGCTCTTCTCCTGGGGTCCCTCCTCTTTCCCCGAGGACTTCACTCTCATTGCCCCAAGAGGACAGGGAGTCTGGGTAATGGGCAGTGGAGTTCGAGGGTGGCAGCTGGATGCTACCACCCTGGCAGAGATTGGTGCAGGAGTTGGAGGTTGTAAGCATTCCCGGTTCAGTCTTCGACCTTGAGGAGCCTTCACTAACTTCCCACCTTCTAGCTGAAGGGATTCTAGTTCAGATACGCGGAGCTGACGGGCAGCAGAAAGCACATCCTGAGCTTCTTCTCGAGAAACTTCCATCTCTGAGGTATATAGAAAATCTACCAGTTTTCTAAGTGTCCTGATCTTCAGGCCCCCCAGTTCCAGTACCACTTTCCGACCCTGAGCTGGCTTCTCCCGCTCCAGGCGCTCTGTGAAGAAGGGGCTACAGGCAGACAGGATGCAGCAATGGGCTGGGACTGCTTCACCTGGAGGGAAACCCAAACACTGTTACCTCATGGAGACTGGCATGTTTATGGGCTAATGCCCATGTTATTATCCAATTAATGCATGTTATTACCCAAATGAGTTGCCCCCTCTATATCCCACTGTGGAAACTCAAGGTGGAGAAATTTACTCCTCTCTCTACCCAGAAACTTCTGCCATTACTTGGCTAACTCATCCTTTTGATCCTTTAAAATGCAGTTTAGACATCACTTCTTTCAGAAAGCCTTCTACCCACCCCAAGTCTGGGTTAGGTGCTTCTGGGTACAGAGAACAGCTATCATAGCAGTTAGTTATCTGTAGTGTAACTGTCCGTATCTCCTCCACTAAACTGTAAGCTCTGTGAGGACAGGATCCTATCATATTCTTTTAACTACACCCACGACTAAACAGAAAGCAGAGGCTCATATACTTGCTGAATCTTTTTTTTTTTTTTAACTTTAAAGATTAAAAGATTCCATAGAAGCAGCTTGTGGTCTACTATAAGGAGCTTTTGAATGAATTTTGATGTGGGCGATCAGGGCTCAATTCTCTTCTGAGCTCTAGGCACTGCCTATTAGGCAATGGTCTGTCCTGAGCCACCTTTTATTTATGAACACATCCCAGGCACTCTCATGGCTTCAATTACAAAGCCAACCAATCCTACCTCTGCCCAGAAATCTTTCCTGAGATACTAAACATGCCAGTCATATTTCTTGTTACGTGTCTATATGGATGTACTAAAAGTACCTCCAGTGCAACCTTTCTAGAAAATGAACTCATTCCCTACTCCTAAATGCCCATCTGTTTCTTACTTCAAAATAAAGTATCACATTCACCCAGCTGCCCTAAAAACTAAAAATTATCTTCTTTCTTACCCACTATAATTAAGCGTTAATCTTTAAAAAACTAGTATTTAATTACTTATTATGTGTGAAGTCTTGTTCTAAGTTTTACCAGTGTTAATTCATTTAATCTTCCCTGCAGCACTGTGACAGCTATTGTTATTATAGATGAGTAAACTGGCAGAGTTAAATAACATGTCCACATTTACATACTAGTAAGTAGCAGGGACACGACTGGAACCCGGGAAGTCTGGTTACGGAATCTATGCTCTTAACTACAGCAAGTTTTACACATTTTCTTAACAGATCACAAGCCATACATTTCTGTTTTCAATGCCTTAGTTCGGGTTGTCATTCCTGCTGTGGACTCAAAACAGCCTATCTGGCTTCAGCAGCAATCCAATAATTCTCATGCAGCCTGGAGTGCTATTTCTAAGTAGGTATCTGATTATGACCACCCTTTTAAAAACCTTTAAATATATCTCCCAGTGTTCTGTGGACAAGACCTACTTCCTTTGCATAATATTGCAGACTTTAATGACTGCTGCTAATTTAGTCGTAACTCTGGTCAGTACACTCCCTGTAGTCTGTGGTCTAGCCATAATGAACAAGTCACAAATCCCAGTCCCTCTCTAAATTTCTTTATTTGTTGTTCTCTCTGCCTAGGAAAAATCTTTCCCTACTTCTTCCCACTTCTGTTTGTCCTTCAGATCTTACCTAAGGGGTTATCAACTCCAAAAAGATCTCCTTAACCCTTTGTCTCCAATCAAATCTGAATGATCCTCTTTTATGATGTCAGCCTATATTCACTCAAAATGCTACTTATGATACTGCACAGTTACTTAAGTGCACTGGTGAGTTGAATGTCTTCCTTAAATGATTTCCTCACATGGAGGAACTTTAGCCTCCTACATACTGTGCATCCATAGTCGTATAATGTACTAGCATACAATAGGCAATTGATACTTTTTTTTTGTTTAGTTTGTATTAAGGAATGAATCTCAACTCTGAGTTTACTAAGACTTAACTCTAGGCCCTAATTCACTCATCTGTAGAACTGGAAACATATAACATACTTCCTGACAAAGCTGTTGTAAGACTCAAAAGAGACACTGTACTCTGCAAACTGTTAAGTGCTACAAAATGTTAGCTGTCATAATCCTTATTTATAAATGAAGAAAATAAAATTCAGAAAGATGAAGTCACTTGCCCATTTGTCACTTACTTAGTGACACTTGACAGTTCAATTAAGACTTGAACTCAGGTTCTGATTCCTAGTTTGCGCCTTACACATTTATGCCAGGCTCTACCTCATACTGATTTAACATTTCAACTGTAAAAGGAAGTTATGGAAATATGGTATGTATTTTTAGGTCTAACAACGAACAACAAAAACTATCAATCTAAAGACATGAACTTAAATTAAGCAACAGCTTGGCAGGAAAATGGGAAAATACGTATCATCTAACACTTAAATGGTGTTTACTACATTAAAAACACTTCTAAGTGCTATACATATGTTAATTCAATTGTCACAACCATCCCATTCTATTATTTATCCATGAGATTTCTATGCTTACAAAAGTTTACAATCAATTTCACTTTTTAAGGAGAAAAACAGCATAACCTCATTTTCATTCTTGAAAATAGTAACTGTCCTAGAAACAAACAGCTTTTTACCAAATAGCTTATAGTGTCCAAAGGTGGTAACACAGTTTCCTGGTCTTGTCCTCCAGTACCTTATTCTGTGCTGAGTCTCCATTAGGCTCTTACCTTCTGCCTGCAGAAGGACATCACAGAACACACCACTCTGTTGCTGATGATGAAGCTGCAGAAAAGCTAACCGGAGGAACCGAGGATTCCTATACAGGATTTTGGGACTGGCAGGGGAGCACATGTTGGTCTCTTAACAAACCTAGGTTTTCACAGATCAGATTCCTGTAGATCAGAGAATATACATTTCAGAACCATGGTTATACCTTTTGTTTTCATATCTTAGTTTTTTCGTCTTTTGAAATGCAGGGAAATTTTCAACGTGAGAGACAACAGCATGAATTAAGGAACCATCAGCCCAGAAATTGTGCCAAGGGTAACAAAAAAGCACATCATGGTAGATACATATGGGAACTCAAGAGATAAACCTAGATTTGATCTCAGCTCTAGTATTAGCCTAGCTTTATAATCTTTGGCAAATGACCTAACTTCTTTGAGTCTCGCTTTTTCAATCTATGAAATGGGAATGATAATGGTACTTACCTCATAGGGCTGCTTTAAAGATTAAAGAGTCAATGTAGATAAAATTGTTTAGCACTCAGTGTCTGGCATAATCTACCCATCACCCAATATGGTAGCTGATTTTCCTTAAGCCTTCCTCATTCACAATTCCATTGAGGCTCAACTCCTACAATGCTGACTCCTCATATTCTTTCTGAGCACCATGTTTGCAAATTCCATGCGTACAATCCTCCATTTCAAAGAAACAATATTGAGAACAAAATTCTCTAGGAAAAAGCACACATCTCTTTTTCTCCAGGCTCACTCTATCACACTAACCAGCAGAGGGTGCACAGCGGAGAAAAGCACCTGCTGGCCTTGGTGGGAAGGTCCCTCACAGAAATGAGGACATTGATTGCCATCCTTAGTTCAGATGTTCTACCAACGCCTGCCTAATTCTGCCTGGAAACTGGCAACCAATCTGCCCTTTAGGTTTAACAGTCCGTTAATTACTGCGTTAACGGAGCAAGGACAATTTAACATTCCACCCCTCGGGAAACTATCTTCTGACTTCAGGCTTACTAAAATTCCAGCTTTTTGCGCTGAAACCTCCACACTCACTGCACAGCTGGTGTTCCTTTCCTGGCATGCAGTTTGCTGTCAGGTGGCACTCGGGATCCGGGATAATTCAGTCAAACTGTCAGGAAAGAAAAGAATGGAAAGGTAAATTAAAAAAGGGTAGGTTCACTTTGGGTCTCAGTCGGAGGGCTGCGGGTGGAGGGTGGCAGCTGTTGCAAGGGCCCATGAACCCAGGCCCTGAGGCAGCCTCCCGATCCACTTGCCCCGGATCTTGCCCCTAGACCCCACCTGGAACAGCTCTGCAGGAGGAGTTGCTCCCGGGGTCCTCTCTGCGCCCTGTCCAGCCTGCTGTGCTTCCTCCCAGGGTCGTCTCGCGCCCAGGAGGTCCAGCAAAGCAGCACAGGTGGGCCCACTGCCTGAGGTGTCCTCTCCCAGCCCAGAAGCCAGGGAGACGCAGTGGTCGAGAAAGCCGGGCTTCAGGTAAGGCCTTGCAGAGCCGGGCGCCCGGAAGCTCAGCGCTCCCGGCCCAACTCCTTTGAAGAGAGACCTCTCGCCGCGATGGTTTCTGGGAGTGGAGCGTGGGGAGTCCGGAGGCCCCCAAGTCCGGGCTCCTGCCCACCTATTCCTCCGGCCGCCCGGGCTTTGCAGTCACCCCCTGGTACCCTCGTTCCGCCGCGGGCTCCGGCACCCTCATGCACCGGGCGGCGGTGACAGCGAGGGCCTGACGCCACGCGGCCGCGCCACACACCTCGCGCCGGTGTCGCGAGCCCCGACGTGCGGGCTCCGCCCCTGCCCTCGGCGCCGGCCGCCTGAATACGTCATCCCCATTGGCCGGAGGCTCCCCGGCCAGCCAATCAGAGGAGGGGCAGCGCTTGGGCGGGAAGCCGAGTCTCCAGGGCCTTGAGGGCCGCGGCTGGAAGGCCTAGGGCGCAGGTAGAAGGAAGGCCGGAGGGGCCTCCGGCGGGAACACCCCTGGAGAGGGTCAGGACGTCCACCGGGTGGGGGCCGGGGCACAGGTAGGACACCTCCACCTTCCTTTTGAAGAGGCGGCAAATGGCGGGGGCGCTGCCGAGAGCCGCGGGGTAAGGGTGGAGGAAGCCTCTGGTAGCAGTTGGCGCCTTGGCCCCCATCTCGGTCTAATGGAGGGATCTCCGAAGGCCTGGGGCGCTCTGCAACAAGGTCATTGGCCTAGTTTCTGGATTCAGTTTTTCAGGATTCTACTCCACCCCAGGTCTCGGTGAGCTGGTGACCGAAGGGGTTGCAGGCGGCCGGTCTGTGGGATGTAGAGCAGTTCCTGGCTGGAAACAGCTCTTTTCAAGAATAATATCAAAACATTAAGTGATCTCAAGATCAAACCTTTAGAGAGAAGGGCAACTCTGTTATAAATCCTGACAGCAGTTCTTTCTCCTGTGCGCACTAGGACTCCCGGGATTCGTGTGCTGCCTTTTGGGCGATGACCCGAAAATGACCAAATCGAATGCCATTGGCGTCAAATTGGTGAATTTGGCGTCAAATTGGTGAGCCTCATCCCCGCCCCCCCCCCGCCCGTTGAGGCCAGGTGGACGCAGAAAAAGAAGAAGCTGAGAAGGGGAACTTGCAAAGGGACATGCCCCACACAGAGAGGTGAGTCGTGTGATGTGTTCAAATATGTCTTCATGGATTCCTCACACCTTTTCAAAAAAGGATTTGAGGTGGTTGATTGAAATATGGAGGCCAGGGCTGCACAATTCCAAATCGGGTAATCTCCCTAGTTTGAGGCCCCTCCTCTTAAGATGGAATAAGGAACAGAAGACATTTTTTGTTGCACTTGTCATATTTTGAAGAGGAAGCAATTCGTGATAGGACGGAAAACTTAGCAGAAGGAGGACAGATTTTAGATGTCAGCAGTGCAAGCACACACAAGAAAGCAAGCAGTCCTGGGGAAAAAACACAAAAGGCAGAATAATGCTTGTTTATGGCATCTGTTACGGGCAAACCCAAACTCTACTGGGCGGGTGGAATACCAGGATAAGTGATTCTGTGAAGTAGTAAGGAAAATATAAATATTGTGTCTTCTCATGAATATATTCTTATTAGGATTTGATGGCTTTCAAGGAGTAATGAGGATATGCCTTGTTCTTTTTTATTTGTTTGCTTGTTACATTTTAAAAGGACAGGTGTAGTTGGAAAAGGAGAAAGAAAGGCACTTGCATGGTCACAGGTGGGCAGAGGTCTTGGATTGCTTTAATCCATCACCATTTTATTTTATTAAAGCATGTTTTCTTTTAGATTTATTTATTTATGCATACAAGAACTGGGGTGTAGGCCAGAGGTGCAGGGGGTGAGAGGATTCACCAAAGACAGAGTGGGGAGCAAAACAGGCCGATCTACTGAAATACACTGCTGAGGGGAGCAGCGGCTGAGACAGGAGAGGTCTGCTGTACCATGTGGGTCAGCTCCCTGGCAGGGGATCAAACTCATGCCGTGGTGGCTGGTTATAACTTGATAGCACTGAGACTTTAATCCCTGTACCACTAGGGAGGCCCTAATCCAACACCAATTTAGTTAAATCTTGTGTTAGTATAATTTCTAAAAGGAATGATAAATGGCCCTCTTGTCATGGCTTCAAAAATGGCAAGCTTTCGGGGCCTCCCCCGGTGGCGCAGCGGTTGAGTGCTGGGCTGCGAAGCTGCCCACAGCCTCTGCAGCGCCGGTTCAATCCCCGGCTGCCAGTGAGGGTCCCACATGGCGCGACAGACCTCTCCTACAGCGCCCGCTGCTCCCCTCAGCAGTGTATTTCATCAGTCTGCCTGTTCTGTTACTCGCCCTGACTCTGGTGAATTCTCTCACCCTCCCTTGCCTCTGACTGTACCCAGTACTTGTATAAATAAATAAATAAATCTTTAAAAAAAAAACAAAAAAACAAGCTTTGGATGGTAATGTGTAGCCACCAGAAGGTAGGATGGAGTAAAAATAGTTTTCCTTTGTATGGCTAGCCAATGCTTTTTGGAGCTAAACTTTTTTCTTTTTCTTTCTAAAAAAGATTTATTTATTATATGCATACAAGAACTGGGGTTAGGCTGGAGGTGCAGGGGGTGAGAGGATTCACCAGAGACAGAGTGGGGAGCAGAGCAGGCAGATCTACCGAAATGCACTGCTGAGGGAGCAGTGCATGAGACAACAGAGGTCCGCTGCGCCATGTGAGTTAGCTCCCTGCCTGGAGATCGAACTCATGCCACAGTGACTGGCAATAGCTTGATAGCGCTGAGACTTTAATCCCTACACCACAAGGGAGGCCCAACCTCTTTTTGTTTTTACCAGCAATAACTGTAGTCAACTCATCACTAAAACTTGACCTTCAAACTAACCTTGCTTTCATTCTTGTATTTATTTATATATTTTTATTTTTTTTAAGATTTATTTTTATATTTATTTATATAAGCACTGGGTACAGTCAGAAGCAAGGGAGGGTGAGAGAATTCACCAGAGCCAGAGCGGGGAACAGAACAGGCAGATAGTCGAAACACAGTGCTGAGGGGAGCAGTGGGTGTGGAGGGAGAGGTCTCCGTGCCATGTGGGACCCTCGCCGGCAGCCAGGGATTGAACCGGTGCTGCAGAGACTGTGGGCAGCTTCGCAGCCCAGCGCCACCAGGGGAGGCCCTTGCTTTCATTCTTGTCCCCTCTTTAATCCATTTGTCACTTAAGCAGTAGATCTTTTCTGTGAATTAGATCCAGTCACCTTGCTGTTTAACTCTGCTCTCCTCCCAGGCTTACCTCTACATAAGAGTAAAATCCTTTCTTCCGCCTATACGCCCTTCATAATCTGATTCTGCCTATCATTTCCAGCTTGCTTTGCCAGATCCAGTAAGTCTCAGCCCTACAGGTAAGTAGAACTAGTCTTTTTATTTTCTACTAACTGAATGTAAGCAGTTTCCCTCAGTGATTTTTGTGATGCTTTCTTTGGAGATATTTGTTTTTATTATTTGTTTTTGTTTTATAGCTTTAGTTTACAACATTGTGTGTTTAGAAGTAACCACGCTTATCTCTTCAAATGTCTGTTTCCACACCATGCCCACCACCAAAGTACCAGTAACCCCCAGCATAATCCTTTGGATCCCCTCCATCCTTTGCTTCTATCCTCCTCCTCTGGTAACAGCAGTTCTACAGTTAGAATCCAAGAGTTTGTTTTGTTATGTTTTGTCTGTTCCTTTACTTAGTTTCTTAATAGTCCACATGTGAGGGCCTCCCTGGTGGTGCAAGGGGTTAAGCACCGCACTGTGAAGCAGTCTGCAGCCTCTGCAGCAAGTTCAATCCCTGGCCTGCCGGGGAGCTGCCCGCATGGCGCAGTGGACCTCTCCTGTCTCGCCCGCTGCTCTCCTCAGCAGTGTACTTCGGTCAATCTGCCTGTTCTGTTCCCCACTCTGTCTCTGGTGAATCCTCTCACCCCTCACCGCGTCTGGCCTGTACCCCAGCTCTTGTATGCATGAATAAATAAATCATAAAAAAAATTAAAAATATTCCACATGTGAGTGATGTCATTGGCATTGTCTTTGTCTTTCTGACATTTTTGCTTAGCGTGGTCTCCGTAGGTTTCACCCATGTTGTTGAAAATGGCAAGATATCAGCTTTTTCATATAACTGAGAAGTATTCAATTGTGTTTATATACCGTATCTTCTTTATCTGTTCCTCTGTCAGTGGGCATCTAGGTTGTTTCCATATCTTGACTATTGTATATAGTGCTGCATTGAACACATGGGTCCGTACATCTTTTCATATTAGTGTTTTTATTTTATTATTTTTTTTTTTTTATAGAGGCATGTTTTATTTATTTATTTTGTTTGTTTGTTTGTTTTGTTTATACATGCACTGGGTACAGTCAGAAGCGCGGGAGGGTGAGAGAATTCACCAGAGCCAGAGCGGGGAGCAGAGCAGGCAGAAGGACCGAAGTACACTGCTGAGGGGAGCAGCGGGCGGCAGGAGAGGTCTGCGCGCCATGTGGGATCCTCCGCCGGTGGCCGGGAAGCAGCCGGGGATCGAACCGGCGCCGCAGAGGCCGCGGGCAGCTTCGCAACCCAGCGCTCAACCGCTGCGCCACCGGGGAGGCCCCATATTAGTGTTTTTATATTCAAATAGATACCTGGGAGTGGAGTTGCTGGATCATATGTTAGATCATATTTATAAATTTCTGGGTCTTCTCCATACTGTATTCCTTAGAGGCCGTGCCAGTTTATATCCCCACCAACAATATGAGGGTTCTTTTTTGGAGATACCCACTTTACATAAATTTAAATTTTAATAGCTTTTTCACCACTTTGTTGCTTTGTATATATAATTTTGTTTTGAATATTATCTACACTTTAATTAATATTAAGGGGTTTCTTCTGGATTACATAACTAGTAAGCTAGCAGACTTCATTCAATGTTCATTAGTTGCTGAAAGATGAGATCTAGAAAAGAATAAAGAAAACAAAAAAAGCTAAAGATGAGATATAAAGCTGAGCTCTGGGCTACACCATGAACTAGGAAAACACTACTCATCATTTCATGAGCTTATTTTCTGGTGGGGGAGTCAGGGAAACATTTACTAATACTTGCAACATTTACTAATACTTGTTTTACTAATACTTAGTAAAACATTTACTAATACAGCACACACAGTGGTGTGCTGTCTCTAAAAAATTGTAGAATATTCTGGAATATGACTCTTAT